CGGGTTATTCCATGTCAGACCAGTACTCTAGTTTTTAAATGGGGCAAAAGGTCACAGATGTGTGTCAAAGGTCATGCAACCCTTAATTCTCAAAGCCAAATCTTCGCAACATCAATTAAAATAGTATGTTCTGATTATTTTGAGAAAAAATGCATATATTGATGAAAAATGAGATGGTGTTTCAGTTTTACTAAAAGGGTGGATTTCTACGTGAAAACTGCCTACTTTATTGATCTCTACCCTGACCACATGGAAGGGCAATTTCTGCTAATAATTGGTATGTATCTATTATTCACTGATGTGTTGGTATGCTCGGACATGGGATGACCTATATCCATTTGAAAAACGTGCATTTTTTCACAGTTATGAAAGATTGAAGAATTAAACAGTGAGTAGTTATCTTCAAGCTTCTGTTTCACTATTTTGACTCATTAGAGTTGTGTTTGGCTGTCTAAGAGATGCAGAAACTAGCTGTAGGCAACTGAGAGAAGGTAGGATTCTGAAAGGTATATCAATTTTGGCGCTTATCGCATTTTGGAAATAAGCTCTTTGTTTATTTTATAACAAAGTTAACAAGTGAAACGGTTATAAATCATATCAAGTACAATTACGTTCATCAAAATACCATCAAGCAGTGCCCAAATGATCGACTTTGATGAATTAGTGCAACATTGCTGTGGTATGGGAGTAGTATTGTAGGGCCTGTAAACCGTGACTTTAAATGATTAGTTAGGCCTACATGGTGAAACCATGGAGGAAGGACACAGAAGGAGTTTGAACTGCCCGGGCTATAACATCTGGCCGATTACCACTTTCTGGCATGCCCGGTATGTCCATAGCCAGAGCGCAGCCCACGCCTGCTACCCACCACTTGTTTTGCAACCATAAGCTCCCGTTGTACCCCATGATCGTCGCCGCAATTTTTCGTTGGTAATCTGCATCCCTGAAACGTTGTGTACTGCAGTATAGGAAGTTGAATATTCATGCCATCGTTGGTGCTTGATATGAACCGACAACATCATCAAATGTAGTGTTTGCGCAGTTGCTTTTTTTAGGCTGTATACCCAAAGTGTTCATGTGCAGTTGTTGCCCTTATCGAACGCTTTCTTCTGGACTTCTTTTAGGAATAAATAGTCAAGCTGTTTGTAAGATTTTGTGTTTTGTTTGAACCATTTTTATTATGGCATTTGTACAAAGGCGTATTTTATGAGATTTCACGATCACTCAGCATTTTGTTGCTAATGAACTAAGCTTTCCAGAAGTAGTGAACATTTCTTGGCCAGTCTTAGCCAAATTCGCTCCAAGTCTTTGACACTGATGTATATTGGACGGAGGAAACTAGAATTTTGCATGGATAATGAAACTGTGTCAAAATTTGAAAAGTTTATTTATGATGGCAAAAGTAGGTCTAATATCAGGAATTTTTCTCTCTGTTTCTTGGTCACATCGACAGTTTGTATTTAATTGCAAGCAAAAAAACTACAAGTTTTGCCAGGATATTACTGGCCCCGCTTGTCTGGCTAAGATGCAGGCAGCAATAAGGCATTTTGGGAATGTTTTCTATTATTCGTAAGACTCGGCGGCGACCATCATTGGACGCTTTGAAGTGCCTGAGTTACAACTCCATCTGTGTCATTCCCCCATGCTCCATGGTGAAACAGTCAAGTTTTAATATGTCCCTGTTACTGCGTACGATTAAATTACGTAAACGCCTCTACGTATTAGCAAATCGTGAACAAAATGTCGCCAGCCAGAGTCTGGGGTGTCGTCAGAATTCGTATAGCCTATGGGTGGGTGCACATCCGATGCCGTCGACCAATTTATGACACTCGGCAACATTTTCTTCAGGCAAAACTAACAAAATAATGCACAAAATATCTGAACACAACTGCCTACTCCTCCCACACTCATAACGGCACAGTCATAGGGGATTATTCACCGCCCTGCGAAATGTTAGCGCTACTTACGGGAACACGACACCGTCAGGTCTCCATTTCTTGTGATAGCCACATCTCTGACGCTCAACCTGTCTTCGCGACTCCATCCCCTATTCTGGTTAGCATAGCATGGCGTATCCCAGCGATCCACGCTACTATACGCTACTCATTCACGCAATCACCTGTTCGCTAGCGCAGGCTGCGCACTGGGCATTCTAGGTGAAAGATGTGATTGTCTTCGAAAACGCGCTGCTTCTTCAACGAAAACAATGTGGCTGTTGCCAGGCAAATTTGAGTCCAATCCTCTATACTCGGTCAACGTTTCATTGTGGAAACTCCTATTCAGACTAGGCCAGTACCCTTGAAAGAATTTTTAAGAAATTCTTATGTCAATGCTACCGGGGCTATTTGCAAAGGGGTTCACCTGAGGAGAATATACTTAATATCTGGGTTGTGTAAAATGATACCTGTGCACGAAACTCGTCTTATCTCATTGCAACTCATTTTTAAACTTAAGCTCGCCACACCTCCATCAGCAATATCTTTTGTTAGGCTGAAATCCAATGCTGAGGACAAATCCATCAAAGTTTCAAAGGATCACTGGATGCTTATGGATGTGTTAGCTGAAAAAACAAACAAAGAAAGCAGAACCAGGTCAACAATAAATTGCATCATTTTCTAGTAAGGATGCATCAGAGGTTAATTCTAAGGTTGCTTGAAATCAGGCTGCAAGAGTTCATTCACAAATTAATTGTTTCAGGGTTTGGGTAATCTTAATGTTCCTGGCATACTTAAAAACATCTTTGATAAAATACATTAATGGAGTTTTCCAATTAATCATATAAGTTTAGAAAAACTTGACAAAAAGCAGAGGGGTGGCCATAGGTTGGTACGTTACTGGAATATGCACTACCAAGTGCTTGTATTGTGAATAAGCACTCTGAAGTTACCTGCACATGAAAGTGTTTTTATGCTATAAGCGTATACATGTACAGTATATGATTGCTATATGAACGCGAAGGCTAAATTCTGTCTTTCGTGATCCAACTTGAATGTTAAAGACGGGAATCAGAAAATGTGCATGCAAGACCATGTACAAACATATGGAGGATGTACATGTACATGTGCGTGCACAAACACACCTGTATACAAACATGCATGCCACATGCTCCTCTGAGGTCCATGGTTTCAAAGAAGCGTCGATCTTATAGGTGAATGTAGATTCAGGAAATTTACGATTACATTTTCTTGGAGAAACTTAACCAAATCGCAAAAATAGGGGTGTCTCAAATTCCATTTTTTTAAAATCTTCTTCAGATGAAATGAAAAATATGATACAATAAAGCCAGGTTCTGTTCATATATAGAGAAGATGTCTGTACGGTATTAGTAGATATTCTATCTTCAGATTTCATTAAATTTGCTTAGGAAAAGTGCGTTAACACTTTTTAAATAACTTCGTTGCTATGTGTAACTAGCGAATTCAAGCGCATGCGCACTAACTAAATGGCCACCATGAACATACGTGCATGGAATGAGAAATTCCGCCCGAATTTATTTTCCTTTTTCGTCTACGGGCAATCATGTTTGTATTTTGAGCCCTCAAATTGGAAGACTTCATGTTAACTCACCGTGTCCTGATGGCAAGTGCTGTAGTGGTCATCATACCTTTGACAATTACCATCTTGCTTCGGCAACTTCAACTGAAGGATGTATGCCTCCTTGCGAAAAACACATTAATTGCGAAGGGAATGTGACACCAATGGGACTTCATAGAAAGGCTTTCAACTAACAAACTGAACGTCTGAGTTCAGCAATTTTGAATTGCCTACAGGCTAACCCGCTAGAGCTGGCCTATCTGAACTGAAAAATGTTGACACACCTTTTTCTTTTTTTTTTACGGGGATGACAGCGGGGCGACTGGGCTCCTTTCTTTTTGTTTCTTCGTACCCTCAGGCTCACCGCGGGGTTTGATGGCCCGGGATTAGATTAGTTCAATTTTTGTTATATCAGGTGACTTAATTGTCCAGACTTCATTGTGATACCTATAATTTGGGTAATTGTATGAAAGTTGGTGAATGGACTGAAGCTGTACGACTGTAATTTGTACCCGCATCAACGGTTTGCAACTTCACATCCATGTTTGCCATGCGTAAAAAGGCTCATTGAGTGGATTGCGTTTTGAAGTGAAGTTGCAGTGCCATGATCAGTGCCGGAATACGGACGATTCACAACAGTGCGCCTCCAAGAGTTTGCAACACGTTGACCAATCACAACGCGCGAAATTTGTCGACCCTTTCCAAACGTGTCGACAAATCTCGTGCACTGTGATTGGCCCACGCAATGCAAACTCTTGGAGGAGGCGAACATGCATTGTGAAACGCCTGTATTGAACTCGGACCACAACTGAAATAACACGAAGGCCTATGAAAGTTTGCGCAGTTGTCAAGTCGTCTTAGTCAAGTTTGTTTTCATTACAAAGCTGCAGATAATTTCAAGATTCGAGCCGGCCGCGTCTTTCGATCGCTTTGCATTTGCGTCTGACTGAGGTATTAAACCATTATCATTAGACAGAAAAGATCAAACAGCAAGCTATAGGACCAACAAGCCAATTTAAAACAATTAAGTCAGAAAAGCAGCCAAATTCATGAAAACAATATAAGACAATAGTGCGATGGGACTAAATCTGACATTGAATGTTTTGTTTGAAAAAGTAAAGGTATAGTTTCCTGACGCTAGCTGCCGAAGCTAGCTAGCTAGCTGTAAGTAAGCAAAACTATGGCTGTCGTTGGTGCCCAGCTGAGATATAAGCCGTGTGAATTATTGGCTAACGAAGGTTACCAACTTACCACTGCATATGATACGAAGGCCTGCAGCCGGCGACGCACAGATGAGGTCACGACATACATTTATGTACGGCTGCTTGTTCATGTCGTTCAGTTTCGTTTCGCGGTCCTGGTACTTACACTTATCTCTCTACACAATGCAGTGTCATATAATTGTGATTAGATTGCATGTGAATAGACATTTTTATCCTATTTTACAAGTAAAACCTGTTTTTTTAAGGACGAGGGTAAAATAGTGTTTGGCCAGTCAGACAATCGACGGCTGCGAAATCTTTGTCAGAGACAGGTAGGCCCGTGCAGAGGCCTCACTGTCATCCCAGATGTCGCAACAAGAGCAACAACAACTGTCCAACATGTCAAAATTAGCAGGTAGGATCCACCTTATTGTTTCTCTTCTTGCTTCAAAAGCTACCCCGCCGGGGAGTAATTGCAGAATAACCTGCCACTCGAAAATGACCCCCTTGAAATTGTAAGCTACGATGTCGAAGTGGATGTCGAAGTGGAACGCAGACCAAGCTGCAAAATCAAATGGGTGCTGTTGCAAACAAGCAAAGGTAACTAAAATGGGATTCCATGTGGGGATGCATAGTCAATGAATGCACGCTGAATGAATGGTGATAGGAGAAATAAATTCTGAGTTCAAACCAAGTACTCCGCAGCCGGCTATGATGTTGCAACGGTGGCGATCCTTAAGCAAGGCAACGCCGACTGACTGGGTGTGAGCGGTCAAGCGTGACATTTTAGCCTGCTACAATGTAGAAGAGGTGGGTGGCGGGGTATTCTGCAATTGTGCCCCCCCCCGGAAAGAATGCCATATCCTGCAGTGACCATGCATGGTGACCAACAACACAGCCATCTGAAAGCATGGAGGTGCTGAAAGCAATAACAGTGAAACAAAAAAAAATTTAAAAAGTAACATTTTGCAGTAAAAATTAATGAGGTAGACCCTAGGCCTTTTCACTTAGAAAAGACATACAATTGCTCGGATGGTTGGATAGGGTTATGCACATGGAGTCAAGTGACATAGTATATGGAATGCTTTCTGCTTTGGAACACAAGATTTGGAATGTGAAGGTTATCATTTAGGTTAAGTTTTGTTGTTTGATTTGGTTTGCAGAATTGTGGCAGTCTTACAGTCAAGCCATTGCTGCTTATACCAACCAAACCCCACAGTCGGGTCCTCAGTCGGGCACCCAGGCTCCAAATGTCAATGTGGCATCCTCCCCAAACAGTAATGCCGCTGCTGCAGCAGCAGTTGCTGCTGCCCAATACTATGGCACCAGTGGAGGGGCATCTTCATCCATGCTGGGCACATCAGGGAACAATCCCTCTGCTGCACCACCTGCCTCCAATCTCCCGTATGCTGAGTTCTATGCCCAAATGGAGAAGTATTACTCTGCATGTGCCAGCTACACACAAGGTCAAGCTGCGGCATCCTACAATAGTGGAAGTTACACTCAGCAGTCAAGTGGTAGTGGAAGCACTCACTACTCGTCAGGCCCTCTGAGTCAGCAGAACACTGGATACAGTGCCAGCACTTGGCGGGGGCGAGGAGGGGAACGTGGCCGAAGTTGGGGGCGTGGCCAGAGGGGCAGCTTTGGCAGGGGCTGGCGCCAGTACAGTGATCACTGGTCACCTAGCAGTCAGAATTCTGCCCCGCCCACAGGCCAGGACACATTAAAGGCCAACCCAGAAGATGTCTTTGACTGGTGGGTGGCACCAGCGACGAACAGCGAGCCGACCATAGGGCCAGTTGGGGGCCACTTCAGTGGCCGGGATGACCGTGGTGGACATCCCCGCCAGCATGATGTCCACAGGGATGACCACCGTCCCCACGATGTGCGCAAAGATGACCACCACAGTGACCGGTATCGGAATGTTAGGGAAGGGGACCGGTCAAGGTGGAGTCCTCATGGTGGAAAATCACCAAGGGCTCGATGGGAGGACGACCGCACCTTACGCGGTGGCTCAAGTACCAACAAGACTCGGTCTTCCCTCCCGGAGCACCCAAGTCACACGCCACCCAAACGAATCGCAGAGTCCATCAACTTTCGGAGCATCAACCCCCACATGCCAGCTAACGTGGAAAGCCTGGTGCAGCAGCAGATCCAGCTGATGATGTCGCCCCTCCTGGCCAAAACAGCCCCCCCACTCCCCCCGAGACAGTTCACCGTTCCACCGATAATCAGGGATAAGCAGACAGAGCAGCCACAATCCGAGCCATCCCATTCGACTGGTGGGAAAGACAATCTTGACTCCAGGGGAGTCAAAGGGGACCAGAAGAGGGACAGCACCGAAGCTGGCTTGAAGGCTACTACCGAAAGGTCATCCAGGTCCCGTTCTAGGTCACCAGTGAGATCAAAATTGAAGGTGAGCTCTAAACAGCAACTGTCGAAGCTATGGACTTTATGACCCTACTTTATGTACCAGTACCTTTGTCTTTTCTGAGTGGTTGATCCTTGGCAACAAACAGTGTGATAGAGAGTACCGATGTAAATATGTCATGCGCATATTGAGCCAGTTTAACATTGAGTGTCTCGTACAAGGCTATTTTGGCGTGTGCGCGATAGTCTGTCCCATCAGCGCCGACTCACGCGCTGTGTTCCTGAAATGAACACTGAACTGGCTTATTAGTGTGTAAAGGGCATCAGTGCGAGAACTAATGTGTGAACCAATACGGGTGTGCACTCCATTCATTTGCACTACACTTTTGGTTCAAATGACTTCATGCTTTGTTCTATGGTCTTTATCGCACTCTGCATTGCACTGCTCTAATTCTGTGTATTTCCCTAGTTTTTTTCTACAAATTCATGTCCCACGCTGATCATCAGGTGTGTTTAAATGTGCACACGCTTATTACACAGGCCCCCTTTTTAATCCTTTTTTGTGTACAGAGCACATAATTCCATCTTTACTGCGCATCCAGTTTGCTTGAAGATAAATTCATCATCATACGTGCACATGTGGAATATTAAATAATGTAGTGCATCTGTGGCCCACATACCATGAGGCCAAAAGCACCTGTGTCACACATACGGGACGCAGGTGGACTGCATTATTTAGTAATCCCACTAACTCTCATGTAATAAGTAGTATTGTTAAATAAGATGTAGTGTATTCATTTGTTCAAAACTTGTTGCATGCCTACAAAAATCATTGCTGGACAGGACTACTACATGTTTTACATACATGTACGCACAGTATGGTTATTATTTGGAGCCACATTGTCAATTGTGCTGGGTTGTCCCAGTGATGATGGTTTTGGTCATGTGATGATGACTGCTTTATCATGAAGAGCTCCAATTAAACACTCGGGTTTCAAGCTTTCTGGTTAGATTCTGTTTAGTTCTGCAGAGTGTCAAGGAAAAAAGTACCATGATATCAGTTGTAGACACTGTTGAATTATGGTGGGCTCTGATTAAAAAACAGTAAGCTTTGTCTTTGATCAGGATGAGGAAAAAGAGGAGGCAGGTGGAGAAGGTGAAAAGAAAGTAAAACAGGACCGAGAAGAAGCTGATGGGGAACAGAAGGATGCAGTGGGGTCCGAAGACACCATGGACACTGCCAACGGTGGGTACTAGTTGTACTATGGGGTAGTGTATAAATCATGATTCCTATGGTTAGAATCATTTGGGGAGGTGACAGGTGGAATGTCCCATTGAAAGCTCTATCACTTTGGGAATTATTCTTACACCTCTTGAAATGGAATATTCTATCTGCAACTTTGTGAAATCACTCTTGCCACGGAACGGGGTACTCTGGTTTTGCGGGCAGCCCTACTGCTTATTGGGATGAATGATGTATAAGCAACAATCAACTTTTTGATAAAAAGTAAGAATTCCGAACAAAAACAAACTCTGTAGGTAAGAGGAATATCCACTGGTTGATGCCGCTGCGCTCCTCAGCATGTCAACTGGTATTTTAGTTCCAGGTTATATGCAAATACAGTACTTTGTCATACTGACGTGTACCTTTCTTGTTGGATTGAAACTTACTTCATAGAACTTGATTATAAAAAGTTTATATTCTCATTTCCACAGCACTGTACCGCCAATCCTTTCTCTTATACAGTATCCTTCATACATACTTCCAAGATGCATGATGCTTCATATTGTCACAAAAGTAGTCACATAGTTGGCAACCACTGTTGCAGCTTGCTGAAAGAAATGAACTCACCATATCAAGGGTTCAACCGCACTAGGAATGATCCGTGGTGACACGTAGCTGGCCACCAATGTTCAAGCTGTGAATTCTCTGAGGCAATATGATTGCACTGTACTTTAGGGACTTTGCCTTTATTAAATAGCTATCAACAATTCAATATGCCGTTGTTGTCACATTCCTTCCTCCCAGCCAAGTTAAATAAGCCAACAATTCTGACAGAAGACGTTCCCTGTCAGTCACCCGAGAGTGGCAACAAGGACAATAAGGAACAACCTGTTGAGAGCGGGCTTGAGGGTTACGATTCCTCCAAGAAATATGGTAAACCATAGAAACTTTGTTAATATTTACCAAACTTTTAAGATGTACGTACAGAGTAAGTTGAGAATGGTCGCTTAGAGTGTGTCTCAGCAACCGGCTGTTCTGTATTTGTACATTTGCAAAAAAATAACAATAACTGTTAATCCTTTGCAGTTTTTGTTTAGCTTTCTTTTTTTTAACACCATCTTAGCTGTCAGCCACGTGTTGAGTTTCTCAATGTCTCAAAGAAATGCTTTGTGCTGAGAAAAAAGCACTCATGACCCACTGAATGTATTTGCAGCAAGCGGAGTTACTTTCTAATTAAATGAGCCCTTAAATTGCAATTGAAGTACCATATTGTATGTGGATTGAATCGTCAAGCAGACAGCTGATGACCTGTGCTAGCCACTCTCTGGCATTCTGCTCATAAGATAGTTGCTCTTTTTTGCACTAAATGATACTTCCCTGTACTCATTTATCCCCCTTTACGCTGTTTTCATCAGGTGAAGAATACATTCGTGAGGTGACTGCTTTCCAGTGTTTCTTGTGTGGACGTCGTTTCTGGCAGCAGGATGAGGTGGAACATCACTGTCGGAGCCAGGGCCACTTCACCAACTATCAGGTAAAAGAATGCTTGCTTGAAGCATTTCACTTGAAGGACATGACAGAGATCTCCAGTTTTCCACTTTTGGAGGAGTAGTTACCACTGCAGACAGTTGTACGAAAGACATCATTCAAGAGTGAAAATAGGCAGCAGCGTGCTGTCTTCTGAGATTCCATTGGTTGATTTGCTCCTTCCCTAGAGCCTGGCCTCGTCTGAATGACTTGGCTGTGGTTTTAAATTGCGCACAGTTCTATTGTGATTGCAGGCACAACCACAAGATTGTGATTCCAAGCCGCAGGGAGGTAATTCGGATATGGCTTAAGATTGGCTAACACGTACAGAGGGCAGACACGGCATACTGTACCAACATGTGCACATGCAAATGTTGGAATTGATGCCAGGCCGGAGATCTTGACAGCTTAAAAACTGTCATGATGCACTGGTCAGACAATGGCTTTTGGGTTTAATAGTTTTGGACATGACATGAATGTTTGAAGCTCACCCACACAGCATTCACTTCTACTGAGAGTTATTGCTTACCAAGATTAATTACTCACCTGATGCAGAGGGAAACCAGTGAAGTAGAGTGATGGGTACCTGTGAATCTCCAAAGATGAGTTTAGTCAAGCCAACTGTTTCCCATATTTGGCTTTCATATGACATGCTGATTCTGGACTTGACACATTTTGCCATAAAAGCAGAAATCACCTCTTTTTTCCTAGATCCAACAGAAATGCAAACTGAACCTAGATGAGGACGAAGATGACAGCAATGACAAATGAGATCACGAGAGTAGTGGTCCTCACCAGGAGTCCTCACCAGGAGTCCTCACCAGTGTTGGTAAGAGCTCCACTCCTCTACACCTTCCGGAGGGCTGGGAAGTCCACTGCTTTGCAGTTAACCACCAGAAGACTTGAACAAGTCCAAGAGATCGGACTCACTGTCACTGCAATCAAATAGCCGATAAACTGTCTGTCATATCTCGGTATATGATGTCACTTATTCTTGCACTTTGGATTGCACATTGTGACATGGATTAATTTTTTCAGCGAGTGCAAGGGAACAATTCTTGCCTTTTTAAGCAAATATGAAGGTATTACGTGCTTCAAGCCAAAGGCACCCAACTTTTAAAAAATATTTATTGAAGGAGACATTGGTGCTTACGTTATTTGGAACGGATATTGCAGTTGAAGCACACATTCTGAGCATAATTACTGTGCTTTTCATTACTTAAAGTCAGAGCCTTGGTCTGGAAAATTCTCTTGGTCTCGGCATCTGCCTAGAAGATAGTAATATCTGTGTCTACAATGCAGCTCTTCTGTGATCTTGAAATTCAGGTCTGACCTCATCACGACTCTATAGAACTGTGTCTTCTCATTTCACTGTTTAATAAAGCTACAAACAGTGACAAAATGTTAATACGTGTGATTGTTGTTGATCTAAAAAAATATTCCTAGCATGTGGGTGGCTGTTAAATTGTGTTATTTTGATGGTCAGGAAAAGTGGTATTCAAAAATTCAGAAACAGTGCCACTCCTTTGTAGTAAAATATGCCATTACAAGTTCTAAACAAGGACATCACTGGCACACATTAAATTGGGCAATTTAGACTGAATAGATTTGTTCCCTTTGAGAATAAACTTAAAGAAAGGATATTAATTCAATAAGTTTGACATGAATTTCTGTAATGACATCACGACACCAAAAAGTAATTTGTGTACAGGGTTGAGAAAATGGAACAACTCAATCATCTTCATGTGAAAACAAAAACCTTTCTGTGTAGTCTTAGAATTACTTTCATATGTTTCCTTGTGTCAGTATTTCAGCGTACATGGAATTGTAAATATGTGTGGCTGATTTTTTTTCCTTTTCTGTGGTTGCATTTCTCACTCCAGTTTTACCTTATCAGTCCATTAAGAATTACTGCAAGGAGTGTTCCCTAAATCCTAAAAAAAATATTAACAGTATTCGGGTCATTTATGATCTGATATATGCAAACAGTTATGGGCGGGAACAGTATCGGTAGAGGGTGGATGAATTGTAGAATTTTTGCCCTCCTTGATGAATATATTACTAAGTAAAGAAAATATGAATATGAAACTTACGTCATTGGATAGAGTAACATGCGCCCTTTCAGATGCCACCGAGATTGCCGTGATGCAAAAGCACACGTGACAGTACTATGGGTATTGGGTGAATGAGCTTTACAGCCCCCCTTTCATCATCAGAATGTCACAGAAACGTAATCTCTTAGAGTTGCTTAGTGGGAGATATTGCAAGTTTTTTTGTCTGCTCAGCCAAGTAATTGGTAGGGAACGAGTTACAGTCTACATGGCATGTCGTTTGGAACAGTAACCTGCTTTTACTGAGCGAATATTTGTGTGTGTGCTTGGCAGTTTTCCATGCTGTTTCAGGCTACCTTGAATCCATTGTCTATAGCCAGGTCCTAGTCTCAACTCTTCTACAGAAGTGCAGACATACAGTGACAATAGATGTAGCCGTAGCTCTGGGAGCCCATTTCAGACATGGCTTCAGTCTTGCTCTGCACTATTAACACTCCATCCTTTCAGTTCATTGGACTGTGTGCTATTAATTCTGCCTGTATACCAGACTTCTGTGTGAATTCAACCATTACATTTTGATCCTTTCATTTGCCAACTGAGGGCAATTTTATAAGGGTACCACAAATACCTGTTGGTTTTATGATGTGAATTGACATATTGAAGAAATGGGGAAGCCATCCTGAGAGGAAAGAACTGGTGTCATACGTTATTGAGTGCAAAACCATTTTCATTAGCCAAAGTTAATTTCTTGGGCTCTTTATTTTGTGCCTGGCAGCTATTCATTAAGTAAATTGAAGTTTAATAGAATAAAAAAGCTGCACTGGGCCAAAAGGTGAAATACTTACAGAAATGGTCAATTTTATAGTGAGTGCACGCATATCAGATGGTCTAAACATAGCTTCAACACTGATCCGAAGGGGAAAGCAGAATTTTAACAAATTCTACTCATATCTCTCTGTACATTTCCAATCAAAATTTATTTTTGGGCACTTTAATGTCACCATGGGTGTCAGTAATAGTGATTTGTTGGAGCTTTGGTTGTAGCAAAGGTTTTGTGAGTAGTGCAATGATTTATTTTGTCATTAAACTGTAAACAGTATGGTATGTTTCTCTTTGTGATCATTTTCAAAAGGATGAAAGCTGTGAAATTAATGTCATCAGCAACTAAACAGGCCTGCAGTCACATTTGTAATGCACATTGTCAATTCCTTCAGGAGTTGTGCACTGCACTATTGGGCAGCCTGGGTGCTCTGAACCGTGATACAGGTGCATTGTGTGCATATTAAACAGCACTACTGCTGAGTGGCATTTGTTCTTCAAAATCCTATGGCAGAAATATGTTTTTTCAGTCGTTTGTGAAAAACAAAAACAAACACCCCCCCAAAAAAAATAAGTGTGAAACTGCTGCAAAGTGAAATGGGAAGGAGGGAAGAGAAAAACACAACTGCTGCATTTCAAGTGTGGGCATTTCTTTGTTTTATGCTTGTTAGAAAACTGAGAAAGAGTTCAGTTCATCCACATTGTGAATCCAAACTGCCCCTCATTTTGAGACATCCGACATCCCAAACACCTAAAATGCCTCCAAAACTAGTTGTGTTTTAGAGAGGGGGAAACCTTGTACAGAATGGGGTAAGTGATTTACAACATGAAAGAAACAAAGTAAAGCAATGACTTCATTTTACAGAACACACTTCAGATGCAAGCATGGTCTGTGATGCAAGGGTGTCATGGGGTAGGAGGATGCTAGCAATCTCCTTGGGGAAAAAAAATGAAAACTAAAGGGATAAGAAGGCAAACAAAATCAACAAATGAGATGAAAGGGGGTGAAAATCTCCAATTTGCCAGATAAAAATCAACATTGACCCTTTTTAGTGTTAAATTTCTCAAGAACTCAGTTCCTAGATAGTCCAAGATTCAAATTGTGCAGTTTTTAGAAATTTGGGAATTGAGTTATATAGGCATTTATCAGTTCTGAGTGGTTTGACCCCCTAGAAATTTTCACCCCCCCAAAAAAATTTAACCTTCCCCCCCGAAAAAAGACCATCCAAACATTACAGTAACGATCAAATATCAACCAATCTGCTAAAGTTTCTCCCAGATAGTGTATCAACAATTCACAATTGAAAAATACAAAACAAGCACAGTTCACTCTAGGAATACATGTGAAGTATAAATTTTTTTCCAAATATTCTCACATCAGTCAACTACAGGAGAGAATAAACAAGAGGTTCCACATGTATAACTTTGCTTTTCCTGGGCTGATTGACAAATAGATACATCTCTCAAAGTCAATTTATCAAACTGAAGTGCTCTGACACCATCATTTGCAGGCTTAATGCTGTACTCTGAAACAGGTCACTTTGAGACTTTGAAAACTTGTCTACATGTAAAAGAATATCTTGCACCATTACCATATATAGGAGTACACAGCTCATATAATTTGAAGGTTTAAACATTTGTGCAATAGGTTAGAACTGAACAAGAAAAACTTTGAAAATGTTAAAATGAACAAGTTAAATTACCAAGTGAATGAACACCAATCTCCCAATAACTATTTTCTTTACATCAATAAAGACCTCACATCACATAATACTATACCAGGCTGATTTACAGTAACAAGTTGACTTAACGTTTAACAGTAAAGGTATAAATGTGCAGGGGTACACATTTATGATGAGCTGGTACCTGGCAGTATGGGTTGCCAATGGTATGAGGTTTGTGAAGTTCATCATTTATCATCTCATCTTCTGACAGCGTTTTCATAAAATCTGAAGTAAAATGAAAAAACAAAAATTAACTCCGCTTCTTTCCAAATTATGAGGTACTGTTGGCTCCTTTGAGTTGTATACATTGTCTTGGCATAGAACAACAGTCTTCACAACCAAGCTACGAAGTTATGAACACACAGTCCTTTCCAACTGTTACATTCATTATTTCCTGTTTATCAGGCATGAGAAAGGCTATTAAAATCTTACTTTTGAGTGAGAAATAGCAACCATGATGTACCATTGTTATCAACAGAAAATAGCCAGAGTGAGATATTCAGTACACTCAAGGACTTTCAAAGTCTGTAAAGAACAAAATGAACAAACTTTGAACACAACTATAAATCAATGACCTGCCCCCAGGGAAGAAAATCTTCATTTTACGTTTGTGCATTGCTTGACCAAGACTGTAAGTTTTGTTAGGGGAGAGGGGTTGAATGTAAAACATGTCTTGCTGGAACTCTGAAGGAAACAGTTCTATTTCTCATTCTTTTGCTCAAGTTGCTGATACATACATCAGTTTGGCAGTGAGTCAAGGAGCAGATCCATATTTGGATAAGGTGGGTACAAGACCAATTAAAAACACGAATTCAAACTGAGAGTTGTTTTATCCCCTTAATTTAGCATGCCCAATTTGGAACATGTTTCCAGTGCATGGGAGAGCGTTCTCAAATGGACACACCAGAATACTCCATGTGAGAATACCATGTACGTGTTTCCCTGGAAGGTTTCTGATCCTCATATAGTGGATACTTGCTACAGGAAACTAGACAGCTGTGATGTTCTTCATGTCTTTTCAACAACCAAGGGACGCATGTCACCTTAAGTGACGCTGAAAGTGCCATTTTATCCTCAGGGGGGACAGCTCTTCCCCCCCCAAACATCACAGCAGTGAGTTCTGATACACAGTGCAAAGGAATAAGCTGGATTATAATTACCAAAGAGCAGTGTGACCCCGGTTTAACTTTCTTACAACATTAACCTTTGGTTTAAGAATGTTACTACCAGACATTTGTTATGCATGCAGGTACATATCCAATTTCAATTTTACACCTATTCCGTCCATAATTTAAAGGACAACTCGACCATTGGAACTGATGATACTTGGTAGCCCCACACGACAGAATTGTATCAATGAATCAGTTAAACTTAATGTTCAGGAAGAAATGGAGACCACAATGATACTTTTCAGGGAAGGGAATACGGGGAGGGAAAAAAATGAAGATCTTGGAACCAAAAACCACATGTATGAGGTGGTCTGCTGTGGGGTGCATGCATCACACCGTACTTACATGAAGCAACTTGCATTGAGGACAGGTTCTCAATCACTGACATTACACTATTTACCATCAGACATAATAAGATTTTTTAAGATCTGGCAGAATCTACCGCCTTTCAGTGTACCAAGTCAAAATGAGTTTGAGCAACGCAAGTTGAATCACAGGCAATTCAACAGCAAATTCTTGAGAAACATCACATACATGTAAATCCCACTGTTTAACAGTCTTTGCACACGCTAATCAAGACAGATTGACATATGAATGCTGACCCAAATGTAAGTTCCAAAAATGTACTCTCCATGTATTCTTGCATGTATGGAATACCTATAAAGAATATGTTCAAATGTTGTTAAAGTTGCACTAATAAAGGAAACTAACAATATCTGTACTATCAATCTTTGTCCACATAATTTATATCAATTTAAATCAAGAAATACACAGAATCACCAAGAAAACAGCGTAAATGTAATTGTATCAATGTTTCCAAAGGGAATTTGTCTATCTATAAAATCTCTAGAGAAGTACCAATAAACATTAAGTGCATAGACAAAGAACAATGTACAAAAACATTAATCCCATTAAGTACAAGTAATTTGAAAAACCAGAATTTTGGAACTTGAAAGTGCTCTCACACTTTAATCACATTGTCTACAGAACAATAACATCTGATTTTGACAAGTAAGATACCTTTACGGTTTCTTTTGTGTGGTTTATACATGTGCCAAGATAACTCCATCAGGACTTCCCCTTGCTGCAGCATGTGTTATATATGCCAACACGTACAAAGGATTAAGGTTGAATGCACATAGAAACCACAGACAGGTCACTTGAGGGGTAAACTTACAAGATACTTCTGACTTTTGACTCTTCAACATTTGTTCACAAAAAATGGATTAGCCCGGTCCAACCATACAAAGCACACTTGGAATGTGGAATCTTGTAAGCAGTTAATCTGAGTTCCAAATTGAAATACAAGCATGACATTTATGCTTCATACCAGATGTGAATAATAGTATTTTTCACTGCTTGTGACAGTACCGTAACTTTTTGGGTCCATTTCCGACCTCAGAATGATAGTTTGATGGCCCCCAGCCCCCCCCCACACACACATCCGGTAACTGATTAAATTTTAAAAACATTAACCATAACTGTTATTCCAAATTTTATCATGATGTGATGAAGGTTATTAACCATCACAGCTTTCCCTACAACTGTGTATTTTCATACAGTTTCAGTTCAAATTAGGAAGGCAGTGATTGCTACTGCCCCTTAAGAAAGGAAAAGCAGTGTGACGGAGTGGGTTTTTTGACGTAAATACCTTTTGCTGAAAATGTTTGAAAGGTTTCAAAAAATCAATTCATATCAAGTATTCTGTCATGTAAGCCAACACTGTCCAATGCAGATTGCTTAAGCTTTTAACCCTCATTCAATACAACTACTTTTATTCATTAACCCTAACCCTCCTCAATCCTTCACCTGTTGGAGGACTGAGGAGTGTTAGGGTTAATGTTTTTTTGCTTTAAATGCTTTAAAATTCACCTTAGCTAAATAATTGAATACGTTTTAGATTATCTTTGCCTAATTTGAAACTAGTTATTGGATAGAGGAAAAATTAGTTACCCCTCGGTAAAAATCATTGAGTCTGACTAATGCACTTGCCCGGTTTAAAAACCAGTCTTAAATGCCTTTTAAAACCCATCATGTGACTGGCTCTAAACCAATCAACAGGGGCAAACTGTCTGAGGTATCTATGAATTAACCCCTTCGCGCCGGGATGCGGCTAGAGCTGCCGTAAAAATTGAGATCCTCAGCCCGCTTTTCAGCTATTATTCTCGGCCCACGCTCGAGCGAACACGGTGAAAGAAGGCAGACCCTGGCTCTTGTATATATGGTGATTGGCCTTTGTGTGTAACCCAGAAATGAAAAGACCGAATTTGCACCATGATCACCAGCTTCACATTAGTCCCCACATTGAAAAGAGGCAACGGGAATGTGAAAGTGTGAGTAGAGCCGCATGCCACCGAACAATCAGCCTTTTCACTGTGTAATTCAAAGTGTGCAGAGCACGAAGGGCAACAAACCAAGAATGTGCGGTTTGGCAGGTGGCCTTCATGGCCAAGCTGAGGCTGGAATTCTTGGAGTCGGCTTTTGGAAAGAAATTCCGTGGTCAAAGTTCAATACAATACACATGTGGACTGGCATTGAGGTCACAAGTGCACTTCTATGCAACCTGAGGGACTGTGGGTCACCAGAAAAGGGTTCCATTTCACAAGGCCAAAGGAAATAGGACCCTTTTCTGGTCACTAACAGGCCTGAGGGGGACAAGGGCATGCACAAGTAATCCAATTTTTTTTTACTTTTTGCAACATAAGAAATAAAACTTATCTGAGTTTTATAACTGTTTTAATTCAACAATACAACTTATACCGCAGTTCAATCAACAAACATTTAAAAATAAAATCTAGTTTCCTTAGATGGAGTTTTTGAGTTACTGTTCACCGTTCTCGTCATGTGAAGGCACTGTAACCAGTAAAAGTTGAGTCTCTGACCAGGCACTAGTTTCTGGAATTTGTGCATGCATGATGTATCGATACATGTCCAATTCAGGTGATGTAAATTTCATGTTCCAGCCTATTGGTGAACCACATGCGACTGTATTTCAGCCAACCAGGACAAAGAACCAGCAAGAGGTGTGTTATAATATACATATAACATGGTTTGAGGGTAGATTTTTTTTTATTTTTAGCTGCCCGATGTATCAGAACTTGACATGAACTTGACTAGTTCTTGAGGGAACTAGTTGTTTTTCAAATTCCAGTACAAATATTTAGGGAAGCTAGTATTATTCACCTGAAATAAACCATGATACATTTGTTTTACCATGACTCATACATATTCAGTTGCCATTAAAATATTGAAAGCAAGGCAAGGTGCCATTACCTGGGCAGTTTAATTTATGCACATCATTCGTGTGTAGTCTGGTTTGCATGTGCGTACTGTATCCAGGCAACAGTTTCACTTAACTGGGGAACAGTTGGAGGGTATCTGACCTGTGTATGGATCCTTGCGTGCACACATGGTAAACAGCAAGAGCAGTGGCTGCAAGCGAATGGACTACTGACAATTTGGCTCGAAATCATGCAAATGTATAAACAGTGTTATAGCCTGCCATGTTTTAGTGCAGGATAATTCAGTAACGGTGAATGGAGGGTCTGAAGCGACCAGACTTTCGCGAGTCACAGCTGGGGGTCCAGGGGTCTGCTTAAGGGGACTCTAGATCGCTTTTTCAGTGAGTTTTTCTTAACGAGTTCAAATTTTTAAAATTCTTCCAGGTAGAAATATAAAATTTTCACAGTGACTAATGTTTTTTCTGGGATTTTTAAGGATTTTTGTGCCGGTCGGTGGGCTGTTTCATCAAGCTTAGTGCCCGACGGTAGAACACTGTGGTGGAGATCCCCGCTGGCGTAGGTATAACACTGTGTTTTAAGGTGCAGCAATATGTAGGTCAGTACTGGTGTACCCTATATAACAGACCTACGATGGTTTGCATACATATGCATAATACTGCGCTACTGGACACATTCCAGTTGTAAGCTCTTGCTAATACACAATGCTCAGAGTGAAATTCCATCTGTAATGCAAGAATAATTTTACATGATACTCTCTCACTCACACCCTGAAAGATATTCTGAAAAATGGAGTCTGGAAACTGTGACATCAAATCTGAGAATTTGGAATATATGTTGCATTCTCGGTGCTTTTATTATAAGGGACCTTGTACTCAACACTGGGGAAATGGGCCACAGGTAAAGACATTGCAGTTTTGGTCCACGTTGTTTCACTGTTGTTTCGGGTGAAGTCCACAAAGCTTTGAAAACCAAAGATCCCCGAAAATCAAATGCCTGGTTTAGCAGCCTTTTGATAAATTCAGGTCTGTAGAGCCCTGTCACTTCTACTTTGAAGCTTGAAGTCTCAACATTGCCAGAGAATGTGCCAGTAGTATATAAATGTCAGGAATTCACAGCATTTTAGCAGCTTCCCTACATATCATTCTCTGATGCTGGGGTCGGGAGTATACATGGCTGTTGTCACATGGAAGTCTGAACTGTAGGGTGGGGCAGAGCTTCCACACGCCTTTAGCACCTCAGGGGAGGAGGGGATGGGGGACACTTGCTGGAAGTACAGGGTGGCTACTGTCACTCAAATCTCAAACTGCAGGGTGGAGGCTTGGGGAGGGGCTTGAGTAAAAGGTACAACATAAGCAGGTAAGCAGCGTGGCTTAGGTAAGAGTGGGTGTTTTGTCTTGAGTATTAATACAAGTTTGTGCACATTCAGCTGAAAATGGTGATATGAACTACGGTTTGAATCTCAATATAATGAGCACCCTGATGGAAAAGACTGCGATAAAGAGCAAATTCTTAAGTCTCAAGTCTCTCAATATTTGCTTTTTGAGTCTATTGTTGGCCAGGTTCTGATTCTAATGAGTTGACTGCACATGCTATTTGTGCCTGGCACGTTTTTTTTAACCCTAACACCCTAGGGACCATTGAAATCCTGCATAACCTTTTTTGGTTTAGCATATGTTGCCAAGTGAGCCCACATGAGCAGACCCACAAAATACTGCCAGTCAACCCATTACAAATGCATCTGGTCAGATTATAGTGGCAGTGCTACACTTGCAACTAGGTGCAGATGGATTATTGTATCACACATGAATGGAACCACAGAATTACCTTTTGGTTGAGGTATTAACAAAAGCCCGTGTTTTTTCCATGTAACACTTAAAATGAAATTATATTCCCGAACATACTGATAAGTCATTTTGACTTCGCATGTTTTGCAGGATAACATTTAAATTGTACAAAAGGAGTTACCGAAGTTTACAAAGGTAAAAAGAAATTACATTGCATAAAATCCGGACTTCTCCACGAGTTGTGGGGTGTTAGGGACTGATTCCCTCCCACTGAATGAGGTACTGTATCTTTCCATCTGGCGTCACTCGCCTGCCAAGGAGCTGGTGTTTCTCCCCACAAGCCAGCCGCCCCTCGGCCCCGTAATGGTTCGACATGGATCTCTTCAGTTCTGCCATGGTCACGGCCCCATTCAGGCGTGTGGTGGCCAGTTTCTCCGGGCTCTCGCCCCTGGATGGTGGGTGGGAAATAGTCTTGGCAGCAGGTTGTGGGTTGGGGCTGGTGGGTGTCCTTTCCTTACTGGGTGTCGACGGGTGTAGGTGCTTCCGTTTGCGCTTCCAGCTGCCGTGCTTCCGGTGTCGCTTCAGGCTGTCCACACCACTGCCTTCTTCATTGTTATCATTATTGTTACTGTCCCCACTCTCTCCGTCAGCGCTCGCACTGGACTGGCCGGCCAGCACGGTGGTGGCCGAGTAGTCAGAGCCCGTGTCCCCGGACGCTACAGAGGAATGCTGGCTGAAGCTGACTGGCAGGGGGACGCCCGTGCTGCCAGAGTAAACAGTCTCAAAGGGGCGGATGGTGTCTAGGACTGACTGTCCCTCAGAGACTGGGGTCAGGTTGGCCAGGGCCATACCGCCACCAGAGTAACCTGTGTAGGACTGATTGAGACTGAATGCTGGTCTCGGTACTCCCTATGGAAATGATGCACAAACAAAATCCACAAAGCAGAAAATAACTCGACAAAACTAAACAAAGAAAACCCCTCAGGGAAAAAAAGAACAAGTGTAACACAACCCAACAAAGTCCAAATCAGTGTACCTCTCTAGTTCCCCTTACATGGTCAGGATGCTTGTGTCAGAGAGAAATGCACACGTTTGGTCTTCAATAGACATTTGGTTAACAGGGGTTAACGGACCACTTTGTTTGCATCAAAAGCCACCAGCAATTTCTTAACTCACATCTTTAATTGCTTGCTCAAACATCTTCCTGGCATTGATGCTCCGCCTCTCCAGTTCCTCCGGGGTTTCTGCTACACTTTTCCGTTTCCTTTTTGCAGGTTTTAGAGGGACAGGTGAGTTGCTAAATGGTGAATATTGAATAACTGGGGTTAAATCAGCAAAACACTACACAGTCACACAAACAGAATATTCCTTTCATTTCACACTGCCCTTCTTGTATTGGAGAAGCTTGATTTTGGCAGCAAACACACGATACACAATCTACCGTTATATCAATGCTCTTAATTACCGGTAAATATAGAACACACTGTACAACACATCCTGTCAAGTTGGTTTTTTCTATGATCATTTTCGTTTCGAGGTTTTGATCATTTCGTTGTCCTTTGGACTTGACAGAGCACTAAAGACTAAGAAGTATTTTTCACCTAGGTCCCTTTATATACAATACAAGGAACCTAACGCCAACTCATTTCTCATCTGCATACCTTTCTACTGGTATAAAGGTCATGACCTTACGGCCTGTCATCTTGAGGTCATTCATGACCTCATCCGTGATCTGTCCAATGGCGGGTAGAATGATTGTGGGCGGGATTGGAGGCTTTCTGATCCTCAGTCCCCAGATGTTCTGTTTCTTCTTCACCTCCTTGCCACAAGCAAATCTTTCAAGAGTGTTGCAGAAAGGTATACAGAGAACATCGTAAGAAACCTACAGCCAACTCCAGGCTTCCAGAGCTACTGCCATGTCTGTTAGCATGTACACACACATTTGCAACTAGCAAAGACCCTGATCTAACACTGGGTACAAGACAAATCCAAACAGAAGGAGGGCCTGAAGTTTCGACACTAGCAGAATCTTTCTCAGAGGCAGAGTGACAACTGGACAGAGACAAACAAGCAAGCAGGGAATCAACTAGGTACAAGATTAGGACCATGACCCAACATCCCACAGGGTGACTTGCCATTGACAATAGACTGTCCAGTATTTACTTTTACTGGTGCAAATTGCTCAGTAAAAGTATTCTCTCTGGTATTTTCCAAAGCCAGACTTGACTTAACCTAGACTCCAACCCCTGATGCTCTGTGGGACACAATTTTGAGAGGTAACTCTCTTTAACACAGACAGTTCTGGTACTGTTTTGCTAGTCTGGTTCCCTGAGCTGATCATGTCTATGTGTCTTTCATGATGCATCAGGTCAGGAAACCAATGCACCGCTCTTTCAAAAATTCTCTCAAGCCTTCTTGTGAACGGATTTTTTGCAAAAAATTTGACAGTCCATATTACAGGAGGATTACTGTCTCTGGACAACAGTTCCCTATAGGAATTGTAAGAAAAAACTTTTCAAAGTGACATGATGGGACTCAGCAGGTGCAGACTTGTTTTGGGCTGTGGTCCAGAACTTGTGCCTGAGTTCAGCATAAATGGGCATGTCTACAATGTCTGTGGAAGGTGACTGCAACCACCAGTCATGACTTTCATAAGTGCTGTAGCAAGTATATTGGCTTCAGTCGGGTCATGCACCAAGAAAAATACAATGGGCTGCTCACCTTGCTTTTGAGCTGTGTAATGCATCTAGAAACCGCTCCTGTTTCTCTGATCTCGTTGTAGCACCAAGCTGGGAAAAGAAACACAACAATCTTTCATTTGTAAAATATGGATGAAAAACTGAGTTTCATATCTCAACCAGTTTCTCAAGCACTAAAAATACGTGTAATGTGTAAATAGCAGAACCAGAGACGCAAATTATAAAAAAAAGTCAGGTTGGCGTAGTGTTTCTTTCCTCGCCTTCAACTTTTGGGGGCCGGGGTTCAAATCCGGCTCGGTCCACATGCGGATTGGGTTTCAGTCCCTGAGTCCGTGGGTTTTAACAAGTATCCAGGATTTTCTTCCCACCTCTAAAACTGAACATTTCTTCGTGTCTTCTTCATTCATTATCATCCTGTAATCGGCGCTATATGTACTGTTGGATGAACAGTTATAACTACATGTAAATATGAATAAATGATTGACTTTCTTTGTACCAGTCAGTCAAAGGGGTGAGAATGTATGTGAAGATGAGGTAAGTGAAGAGATGGTTTGTTGTGAGGTATATGCTGCGGTGCTCTCCTACTCACATGTGACACTTGGAGGTTATACCACTGCTCTGTCAGGTAGGGGATGATCTCTTCCTCAAAGTCGTAGTACTTCTTCCGATGCATTAATGTCAAGTTGTAGAGAACTAGCTGGGCCAGATCTTGCCTGTAGGGAAAAACGTCGGACAATAAAGCAAGAAGAAGAGCTTTGAAGCTTTTCATGGTGAATGTAGCAAGTATGTGTAGAGGTTTGCGGGAGCACCATGCAGGGTATGTCGTTTATGAGTGTGCGGTTCTGAAAAGGACCCGTTCTTTTTGTTTTTTTTTTCATAAAAGAGACATCCTGCAGCAAACCTCTACACTAAAGGAACAAGGTTCAGACTGGTGAAGTTCTTTGAACGAACCCTGAGCCCCACTTACCAAACTGCATGCATAAATTTCATTGATACAGAAATATTTAGTTTGAAAACAGAAATGGATTATGAATCAAACATAATCTTAGTGTCTTGTTTTTAGTTCCCATTTTAATCTTAATAGCTCCTAAAAATCAAATTGGTTAACTGTACTTTGGGCTGAATTTTTCATGCAATCTGACCTTCAAGTGTATGGGTGTACTTATTCAGACTACACCAACTTGGGCTTTTAAATTTGAAAGTTCTTTCATTTACGATTGATTGATTGATTCTAAGTGGTGCTTAGAAAAGGAAGCACTGCCTCAGATCAGAAAAAGCCACTGCTTTCGCAATTTCAGTAATGAAAAAAAAAGCAACACTTAATGCTTTCTAAACCTGGCAACTTTATATTTGCTGAATTTTGGAGAATGCAATGAAGATTTTGACAAGGTACGTGACCTACCACTTCAAAGGCAGTCTCTTCAAGTATTCTGGCCCGGCATTGCACACAGAACACACAAAGATGTAGAACCTGGGCAAACGATAAAAGAAACAGTTGATGCTTTCTGAGCATGAACATGAACATCAGAAAACCCCATCAATCTATGGTCCTTTGGAGAGGCTAAGAATGGTTCGACAGAAGACTATGACAGAAATGCCAGAGTCCCTCGTGGGAGACAAACTCCACAGAGTGACCTCTTGAGAAAGCCTGTGGCAATCACTCAACACAGACGGTGTCAAACGGCAAGGCGGAGAAATTTGCTGTGTATGTACACCTTACAAAGCAAAACAAAAAAAGTCTAATGCCCGAGTGGTTATCAGTTGGTATCTGTCTGGCTACAAGATACAGGTCCAAATAAAATAAGCCAAGATGGAAATTGAACAAGGTTGACAGCACTTTGTAGAGTTCATTAGCGTTTCCCATGCAGACGCTAAAAGCTCCCTTTTGATAATGACCCCCAACAATGCAAACTAATGCCACAAACTACCGGCTTACCCATCTCCATACAACATAGGCATCTCGAGGCACTGTACACACGCTGAGACAGAAAAAACAAACAAAACACACATTTACTAAACCTGAAATAAGTTTCATAAGTTTTTGTCAAAAACAGAGGAAGTTTTCATATACTCGTGCCGGTAGTTAAGATCACTCTGGTACACACTACGTTTTGTTCAAGAGAAAAAATTCACTTTCAAAAGGGGAATTCTATCAATTCTGTTTGCTGGTGCCCAAGTACATATCAATCAACCCTAAATTTCGCTGAAAAAAAAACAACATCGGAAGGATATCAAAGACGGGGCCAACTTGCCTTCATGAAACCACTGCATGCACCTGCAACACCGGAGCATTTTTAGATACCACCTGCAGCAAAAATTACATGTATCGTTAAATGCACGATTACCATTATGGTGCTCAAGCAGATATATCATATTCAAGCAAACAAAATGAAGCAGGTAGAAGGAATTAAACAGTGCCATGTTGTAATCTAACAATATTTGTCACAAGCCTAAATACAGCATTTGCCCATAAAGCCTTCAATATGTTCTTAGTCCAAACACCAAAATTATAAGATTTCTCAACAAATTAAAATGCTTACAGTCATAACCGACATCAGTAGGGGGCTACATCATTAGAAAGGTGTTTTTTTAATGAGACTCCTATCTCAGAATTCAAACATTTCAATTTTTTTCCTCCACAGTGAGGTGGAAGATTAAAAGAGAATTGAATTCCAGCTTTTACGTGTTAGAGGCTGATTTCCAAGAATACAATTTCCAATCACATCAATACTTACTCCCCCGGCCCACCACAGTAACAATAACATTGTTCAGTGTTGGTCTTGTGAGCCGAGTCCCAATGGAGGCTGTCCAGCTGAAATGAAAACAAAACATTCATTTGTGAAACAAACATCTTCTGTTGAGTAGAGGAAAGCTCACTCGACCATCAAAATCGAACACAATGCAGTAAAAACCGTCTGCTCTATAAACTTCAAAAAATTACGGCATTGGGATTGTAAAGTACTGAGTTCATCAACCAACAGGCAGGTCTGGTGTTTAGACTGAATCCTGATGAAGAAACATTCCAGCTGTTGAATCCTATTAAACTTCCTTAGCATTCCTGAATCCTCCAATATGCTCCAGTTTTAACTTTCAAGAAACATCAAGCCCCAGCCTAAATTTATAGAGGCTGGATTCCACCTTACTCAATCCTGCAGCATTCTGGGCAAACCTCCTGGTGGATTTTGAAGGACCTGGGAAAACTGGGGAAAGAGACAAAGCAGACACATTTTTCTTCAGGAGGGATGCCGATGTTCACCTACCTTGTAGGGTAGAGACTGCTTCATTTCTTGAAACACCTTGGCTGTGGAAAAGGAATAATAAACACACAAGAGGTGGTGGAAAACGAAGTGACTTAAAATCTTTTCGCCACAAACAAAAATTGTTAAATACCTATCTGGCCTTGGTAAACACAAAGTGATATAAATTTCGGCACTGAAATTAAACAGGTGTGAGAATTTGTCCTCGGAGGGACAACGCAAGTTTTTGAGCTAATGCAAACATTTAATGAACTGGATAAGGTGCTGCGGGTGGGGTATGGTGGGATAACAAACACAGCGGCATTTGTCTTTCATTAACTTTCCAGCATCAATACAAAGGTTTCTTACCTCCTGGACCTTTCTTCAAAGCGCCCCCAACCTAATGAAAAAAATTACAAAACAGTACCACTCACAAAATTCTTAAACCCTATAAAATACTTCAAAAGATTAAGCTCATAAAAAGGAGGCTTTTATTTCACTTAAATGTGGATGCTGCTTTTCAGAAAGTTAAGCACAGGTGAAAGAAAGTTGAACTCAAAGCAGCCAGCAACAAAACAATTTCTTCCTGAAGAAGATTCCCCCAGCAGAAGTGGAGAGCAAGGCAGTGGCATAGCTAGGATTTTGCTAGAGGGGGGCACAAAGGGGGCTCCAGCATTTTATGGGGGGCATCAGCTTTCAGTAGTGTGGTTTTTGGGGCCAAGTTTTTGTAGCCTTGTTCAATATCCATTCATCCGTTTCTTTTTTTTTTCAGTGGGGAGGGGGGCAGTGTCCCCAGGTCCCCCTGTGGCTACGCCACTGAATCAAGGATGTTGAAATTGTAAATTGTGCCCTACAGCCCATTATCAATGATTTTCTCCTCCGCATTTTCCAAAGGTTTTCTCTGGATCAGTGGAATTGCTGGAGATTTGACGGACCTTGGCCGAGTTGACAAACACACATTGCCTGCAATGCCAGGACTCGTCTGGGCAGAGGAGTTTGTGACTGTCGATGGCTGGCTGATGACACAATTGATGGTAACCTGTCCAAGAGAACATCAGAAAATGTCAAAAATGACGGCATTCTAACACTGAGGCAATGTGGAATGGCAGACTGCAAGAGCAGCACCATTTCAGAAACACTGTTCCGGTCTTGGAACAATACTTGCTTTTGTAAGTACACCTGAGACTTTTCTTTCAGAAAATGTAATGGGTGTAACCTCCTTGCAAGGAACATATTGGATGCAAGATGTTCATGTGTGCCACACATGCAAATGATTTAAGTGTACATAAATGTCCAATTTTGGGGGGCTGAATGTACACCAATGTAGTGAAATGTGCCTCATCTTGAACTGTACGCTAAAGCACTTTAAACGATCAAACCAAGGTTTAAAAACGGGGAGGACAAGACATTTCAGTGTGCAACTTTTTCAGCTTTGAAAATCCTAAATAGCGCCTGCAGAATATATCTTTTCCTTTGGCATCGTTTTTCTTCTCAATTTGTTTTGGGGGGGGCAAATTCAAATGGAATGGAAATACCAGGGTAACGGCATTGTCAACATTGTTCGTTAAAGTTGAGATGAAACATGTAGCGAGCAGTGTGTCGCACCTAAACCACAGCGATCACAGATGACTATCTCATTGGGCGGCTCTGACTGGTCGCCCTCACAAACACAGCAGGTTATCTCACTATTAGGAGTTCGACCTAGAATGAGAAAAAGAGAAAACAGAGCTCATATGAAAATGCTCCCCTTTCAAAAAACAAACCATATTCTTCATTTTCTTCAATTTGATATAATGACATTCACGTTTGAATTGAATTCTGCTAATTCCTTCAACAGTCTTTCTCCTAAATTCTCAAGAATTCTCTAAAATTCTACAAGCACTAAAATGACCATTGACATCTTGTGTTACTTAATTACTGGGCCATTGTAGATTAATTTGTTCACATTTGTCCTCACAAAAACTATGTTTCAGTTTTGGATAATTTTTATGTCCCGTTTTCGCTCACATCTATTGAGTTTGTGGTAAATTCAAACACGGAATTTCCAGAACTGAATGGATAAAAAGTTAGAATTTGATGACTCTAAGCCAGAAGCCACCTGATGCAGGAGCTGACTTAAGGCCGGTTCATACTCACTGTGTATTCACTGTGTACACAGCACGAAGGTCTATTTTGAGGTGTCTGCAGTGCGTGAATGAAAGCGCAGTGCATAACAAATATGTGTACCTTTGCACCCAGTTTGTGAAAATAATGGATAGTGCATAGGCACCAAATGTATGCGTATTCGGAAAATTGAAATTTTAAAACTTTTTTCGGATACGTACATGCAGCCGAGACTTGAGAAAAGATGAAAGTGTGAACGTCAAATGGAAATGCAGCGAGTATGAACCAGCCCTAACCTTTCTGGAGGTGTTTGAAGAGCACCCAGTGCTCCGATTTGTCTTCAAAGATCACAAGGCACTTCTTCTGGTGTGGAATCACCTAGACAGAAGAGAGGAGAAAAATTCAGACTCCTTGAAAAATTCAGAGCTTTTTTTAACCATCTAAGCGACATTTTCAGTGAATGGAATTTTTTTTAATTGAGGGTGGTTAGACAACCAGATAAATTAGATGGACTAAATTTCTTTTGTTTTTATCAAATTACACCTCCAATCTATTCCTTACAACTCTGTGGTTCAGTATTAGGAGGCAAGCTTGCTTCACACAAAAAATTTGAAATGGCAATGAATGGTAAAAATTGCCACTAAAATATGATTGGTTCTCTTTTAAAATGCAGAGTAAAAGACATCCTTGTCACTACTACTTTTCTTTTTCTTTGGTAGTCCAGAAAAACACTTCAATGTTGTGTTGGAATTTTGCTGAAAGTTATAAAATGAATAATGATAGTTTTTAAGGGTGTCATTCTTGTTATCTCATATGATCATGACTGACCTTTGACACTATCCCCAGGTATAACAGACCGTCATTCCAGCGAGCAAGCACGTCCAATCCAACCACAAACTCACAGTCTTTCTTCAAACTGTCTTTTTTCCCCGATGAGCACCCTGCGCCTTCTGCTTCACTGTCTGACTGTTTGACGGCATCCTCCGCAGGCCCCACCTCCTCGCCAAGCAAAGTGAAGTTTACCGGATTTGGAGGGAGCATCTTTTTGTCGCTAGCGATGCTGGACGCTGTGCTTCCTATTTCGGTCTCCAGCACAGTGTTGTTGTTGTCAAAGATGGGCTTGCAGTCTGTCTGGATGATAGTGGCTGTCCCGGGCAGGCTTGGGTCGGGCGCGGCTTCTGGTCTCGGTTGGGCTTTGCGGGGTGAGGATTTCTCCATGTTGACAGTTGGTCTAGAGGTACAGTTTGGGTGGCTGAGGAGGACACAACAAACTCCTGATGTGAATATTGTCTGTACCAGTTTGGCAAGTGCTGCGTAAGAATGAAAGAAGATATCGCTTCTATTTAGGCTGTCTTACATCATTACTTTAACCCGCAGGTTTGTCATGTGCCTTCTTTGTTCATTTAAACCACACATAATTCCTCAAAATGCGTTAGGATGAAGAAATTTCAGAGCAGCGTGGTGAGTCAGCCTCCAGTAGTCATAATCATGATCCTGTGCTGTGCCTACATGCATAGTCCAAATCTCAACAATGCTACCCAATTTCAATTCTTTTTTAATTTTTAATTTGAACAACAGAAATTAGAGGGATGACTTTGTGACATTGGGTTTGGGGAAAACCTCAGAACCAACCATGGGAAAGAGTTCTACACAGACATCCTGTGCACAAACCCCATGAGAAGTACATGCTTCTCATGTCCATGGTTATGAGAGATGGATTTAGTTTTTATGAGGTGTAGGTTCAATGCCCACTGTACTTGTAAGCAAACATGTGCAACACTATTTACGCCAAAATTTGCAACTTCATGACATGTCACGATACCAGACAGAAGTGGACAGTAACAGTGCCAGTGCAGTAGGAGGCATATCAACACAAAAACAAACCCTGCTTTTGCCTCATTTTACTGGGTGCATCGCCAAGGGGGAGGGGGCGTGATGGGGCTGGGCCCTGAGCCCAGCTAGCAGAACACTGCCCCCCCCCATTGGTAAAAAGCATAAGCAAAAATATATCGGCTAGGCCTAGGCTATTTTGTTCTTCCGAGGCCCCTATTATTATGCCTGAACTTGGAGCTGGCGACTGGGCTGCACAGTCATAACATACTGACAGTTGACCCAAACTAAACAACCAACTTTGGCCTAAATAATTGGGGGGGGGTGAGGTCAGGGGTGAAACAATTACTCTGGTTCTGGATTTCTTTCTGCCTAGGCCAATCCTGCATTAACATGAAATACAATATGGCACAATCACAGCTCTGTTACGTAACCAGTACGTACCAGTAGTGCCAATCCAGACCACTGTGCACGCGCCCAACGAAAACAGACCACATGGTGCAGAACACTGTACACAATCATGATATTGATAACTTGACCCGACCAACGGTCACTCATTCTCGCAGAGGAACTAAATGGTTCGAAACCAGTCCTTTGGCTGCAGTCTAATGCCCCTATAATTAACTCAGAATGATGTAGGGAATCTGGGTTAACAGACACATGACTCCCAAAGTGTGCTTCTATCGAAAACCCACCAAATTTAGGTGAAATTCCAGCGATGCTATCCCCTTTTCCGCTTGTTTCCCGCGAAAATCCAAAACCACGACAGGTTGGTCGAATTCATCGCCCAGAACTGACGCGTCGAAAGAGGGCGCTCAACGGATTAAACCGCTCAACAAAAGAGTGCTTCACGTCACGGGAGCCAGTTAATTTAAGCTTTCTTGGTTTGGGAAAGGCAACTAAATGAAAAATTATTGCATTCTCGATGAAATTTTTTCGATGTGAATTTACATGAGATTAGTCATAAGCATAGACAGAACTGGAAGACTAATCACTAAATTTTTGAAGTCCTGAAATCGAAAAAGAGCTTGTTACAGTCTATTGATAACTCCACTGCAGTGACTGCAATCACTTATTCATGGCTGTCCATGGTCATTACTTCTTGGGCATTTTGCAAAATCCAGGCCACACCAAATAAAGGAAACATGCCGAAACCAAGCACATCCTGCAGAGAATCTGTTTAGCTTCCAAAACTGAGCCAAACTTTGAAACAAACAAATCACAGCAATGGGTGTTCGGCCATGCCTTGAAAGTGATTCAAAATAGAAAAGTGAATTTTTATTTGACACACTAATGGACTTGATCCCTTTACCAATAAAGAAGACCCGATCAGGGAGGAATAACTTACTGAATGAAAATGAAAATCCCCACAGGATAATCAGTTTTCAAAAATATATCAACTGGTTTTCAGTATAACCGCATGTTTCAAAATCCAGTTGGAATAGTTTCATTAACAGGATAGAATTCATACACTCTTGCAATTATGCAAAACCCTGAATAAATGGATACTCTTAAAGTTGCTTTTTCATCTTTAAAATTGTGACCTATTCAACATCTATAAGATCAGTTACATCCTTGGTGTATCATTTCCATATAAAAATATTTTAATTAAAAAAGTACAATGTATCACCATAACACCAAGACAAAAGTCCTAGACGACCACAAAATACTATTACAGGAGAGGAAGGAGATAAATACCCAGATGGAATACTATATTGCAAGTAAAAATATATTTCACAGTTTGTGAAAATGGTCCAAGATGTGATACTGACCAGACGGTCACATTTTAGTAAAAAAAGATTTTAAAATAACTTCCTTGCAGGCGTTTGTCCCTAACATCTGAAGTATTTAGAATATGACCTGCCATCTAGTTGTTTGAACCTATACACTCCAAAGAAACACATCTGATGTGTGCGAGCCAATTATATTCAGCCTGCCATCAGCCTGTTCATTGGTCTACAGTTGTCAGCTGGCTCCTATCACATCAGGTAGACATGATTGAATTGAACACAGATTTTAGGACACAGACTGTGATCAAATGCAGAATGCTTTATACCAAAAACAGGTACCATGGAATGAAAATTGCAAACATTATTCACGGGGAAGTCATTCTGTAGTGATTATGATGTGTTATGTTAAGAACACAAAGGTGGAGCAGACATCTATGAACTTACACGATCAAGAAATGATCTATGAACTTGAAAATGCAAGTATTGATTAAAGAAGCTTGTAAAAAAGTAAAGTATTTGTAATAGTAGGCACAAAGAATATGAAATAAAAGAAAAAGTGTTCTGATGATGTCTTTTAAGCAAGTAGGCAAGTTATCTTGGTATCCCCAAACCATCCGGTCTATTACCCGGCAATGTATGGCTGAATGGATTCATCAGTAAATAAACACAATGTAATACAGCATGACATGAGGGCTAATGAATAAAAGGAACCTTTGGTTAATGCATTGATTGAGCCAATGCTCCAAAAGTTCCCAGCCAATGGCTCCTGCATCACTTACGAAAACTGCATTCTGGCACAATGTAAGCATGTGCTTTTCACACATCCTAAGATATCAAACGTTTATGAGCTTTCAACACAAGACAACCACATGTATGAATGTAAAACAAGGAAAGTAAATAACTCTCAAGGGTGATTTGAAAGAAAAGTTCAAAAATCTGCCTAAAGGAGCGAGTGTTAAAGTTCGTCATCCGCATGGGCCTGTTTCTTCTTCTTTTTCTTGACCTTTTCATCCTTGTTCAGCAAGTCGTCGTGCGCCCAGAAGGAGGTGGGCTTGCCCGTCACGCCTCTCTCGCGCGCAGCAAAGGCCGAGAAGGTGGACAGGCAGTTGCCAATGTAGTGGTCAGCTTTGGCCAGGATGGCCAACTCCACATGTGGCTCATGCTTATCGTACTGAAGAACCTTTACCTATTGGAAGAGAACAAAGCAAGAATGATTTTTTTTAATTCAAAATAAATAAATTTCATTAAAATCAACGGGGAAGGTTGTGGCTTTATGTTCGTAAATTGAGGAAGGTACAGTGATTGGGTCTCAGCAGAAGTCGTGAATGGTGCTGGGTTGGTAAACAACCTGAAAGATCTTCATCGGTATGTGAAGGCAGGGGCATAAAGTACAGAAGGTGGGAATTGGCTGAGTTGAGTAAAAAACAAATTTGCTAATTTGACATACTTCACAGAGAGCATGTACATGCAGCAACAGAGGAGGAAACCAATCCAAGCTCCCACATTACTTTTAAAACACATCCACATGAAGCAAATCAACAGCATGTAACCATTTTTTCCCAGTGATCATCTTGAATATTCCATAATCTACCTTTCTGCAGGTGACCAATGACACATTTTGGTTCTTTTACACAGGAACACCAACTATATCATAAAATAAACAGCTCTGTGTCAAAGTGCCCCTCCAAATTTATAACAGAGATACGGGTAGAAACTTTCACAAAATTGCTGCTGTGTGGCTTGTGCCTATGTGAAGAGACCCTTATGGGCATGACCGCAATCAGAGAAAACTTAGTTACATGTATGCATTTCACAGCATATGTGAGTGAAGACAGTGGCCACAAAGCAACATACAGTGCTCTTGTATAGAGTCCACAAAGTGGCTAGGCATTAACCCTATCAATGTAGAACTTACCTGGTACTAGACTTCGAAGTATATGGGAACGTTAAGTTTAACATAATCCTTGACCAATCTTGGTAAGAAGGCAGCGGCGGTGATATAATATATCATCACCACTGCCATCACCTTGTTGGGTTAAGCATGGTTACGGTTATGACTCATTTTCACAGAGTTGGTCATTATGACTTATTTTCACAGAGTGGGTCACATATTATGTGACCCACTCTGTGAAAATGAGTCTGAAGTCACCAGAGCCATTTTTTGAGTTTTCATTTGTACTAGAAAGAGCAAAGTGAGTTTTTTGTTTTGATGTATCGCTCAGTTTGGGATCCTGATGAAAGTGGATACTCCATGGTGAAAAATGCTGTGGGTTCCTGTTGATTTACACTGCGCAAAGTTATTCTAAAGGACATTTTACTCCAAAGTGGCTCTGGCGACTTAAAGACTCATTTTCACAGAGTGGGTCACATATTACTCCTTCCCGTAGAACCTCCACAGTGGATTTTGAAGTAAAACAGTAAAAACATGTAGTTGGCTTTAACAGATTTACCTTGAGGGGCTCTAGCATGTTGGCCAGAACTGTCATCATAGGGTCAGCATCAGCGGCTACAAACACTGCCTTGGCTTTGATCTTCTTGACCCGCCTCCTGATCTGCCTCTTGACCAGGTCGGCAGGAGGCAAGCACATATCCTTGGTGACCTGCCCATGCTCGAAGTGGTACCCCAGGCATTGTGGTGAGCCGAAGAGATGTCTATTTTTTTCTTTCCCTATGTGGTTGTCGCAGACGTTCACCTATAAACAACCATAAACAAATGAAAGTTAAGCAGTGTGTTTGAGAGTTACATCTTTGATTACTTTGTTTTTTACTGACAAATAGAGAAGCAGTTGACAATTCCACGCTCACAACAAAAGTTATGGATTGTATTAAATCTTATGAATTAGATGATTGCACATCCACACATTTCCTAACATATTCTTCCGCTTGGATTCCTTATCTAGCCAGATTCAAATGATATAGTGAGCATGCCTTTGAAAAACATGGCCTTTGCCCCTTCTCCAATTACCAGCACAAATCTTTTCATCACTTTTACAAACCCTTAAAATGTGACCGAAGGCAGCGAACAAATGCTATTTTGCGGGCTGTCTACTGATCAGACTTACCCAGTCTAGGCCATTCCGCATGTGCACCCCAAGGAAAGGTCCTTCAGGGATTTTGGTTGCGATGAAGTTGTTGGCTTCTTCCTCTATCATATCTGACCATACCAGGTACTGGTGTAGGTGGACGTTCTGCTCTAGCACTGGGAAACTCCCTGGCGCTCCGCCAAATGCAAGGACTGGGAACTCTGAGGCTGGAAATCTAACAGAAGAAGTTATTCACTGCATGGGCTTCATTCACGAGATGGCCATTTTGGATTGCATTTCCCATGTCCACATTATTTATAAAACACACTGTAATGGGAAGGAGACTGACTATTTTGTTCCAATTACAAGTACAGCCTCGCTTTCAATAATTTTTTTAATCGACTGATAAGGGTGATATGACTTTTTATTCTCCCTCACATATAAATTTTTTAGAAAATTTTTACAGGGGTTGCGACACTTTGACTCAAGATGGCTGACTTGTGAAAGGGCTGGTGGTGCAAGGCAAATATCATGAAGATGAGACATCTGAGATGTTGTTGAAATTTCAAACACGGATTTGTTATTAAAATGCAAAAATGACAAAGTTTACTTTTCATTCCATTTCCTTGTATTTGAGTTGGAGGGGTCATAGCTGAGCCCGGAGCCAAAGGCCACATAGGAGTCAAAGTCAACATTGAAGTTGTCCCAGAAGGGGCCAAACGGATTACCCTCCTTCATTTTGCAGGAATTGGCCTCACGAAATGTGTGGCAAAAACCTGCCAACAAAAAAAGTGACAAAGAACATCACAACACGATCCGAACCAACCATTTTTCCATTTAAACAGTTTTTTATTTCATCCACCGCATTAGTGGAAAAATCGAATTCACTCGATCTTTTTGTAACATGCGTCAGATAGTTGTTGACTAGACCAGGTGGAGAAACCATCTAAATGTGTATACTGAAATGCTGAATTGACAAGTAACATGTCATTTGGTTTATGTCCTAAAACTCTACATTTAATTTGCTCCTACAGTAGCAATCCTTTCAGAGTTGTACCTGTAATTCCTTTTGTTCTCTCTGTTTCCGAATGCTCAATGGTAATCTTTCCTTCCTCAACAAGTACCAACAGATATAACACTCAATACTTTTTTCCTGTTAAATTTCAATGGGTGGTTAACTATGGGTGTAACTATCTACCATCGTGTAAATATGCCCAGATCGGCCTTTGTGTGGAAAGAGGCATCCGATAAGGACAACTTTGATCTATGTGGTGAACTGTATGTTGGTAAAAATTGTTAGAAATTAATAAGCACTGTTATTTTGACTTGCCTGTACATTTCACCCACCTTTCCTCTGTCCATGAGGCCACACTTTGGGCGCAAGTTTTTCCATGAATATTTCCATGGTGATGACTCGGTGGTATTTGGCCAACGGCTCCACTTTGAAGTAGGTATCAAATGGGATTTGAGACTGGAAATGATGACACATGAGTTTCGTGTTAGTTTTGCAATTAAGAGCAGTTCTTTTCTTGACTTAGGAATTTGCACCACTTTCTTTGCTAGAATTTAAAGACAAGAAAGCCTGCTTGGGAAGTTCATCCTGCACAGCCTGTTCTTTCCACATGGCACAACGTGAGTTGCCTTTCAGGCTGTTAAGAAGATGGCCTCATTTATTTAAGACTTAGAAACTTACACGCAACCTTGAACAAAAACTGCATGAAGTACATATGCAAGTAGCTTCCCTTAAAAGTCACACAGCTCTGTGTTTTTAGAATAGGATGTTTACAATGTTTACAAAGGGCGTGCTCCTCTTTACACGTCTGGAAATAAATGGGTGGAATTTCATGACGATTCTAATGTGCCAAAGCAGCTTGCTAAGCTTCCGGGAGTTTTTCGTAACAAATCCAGTTGCCATTTCAAGCATTATTTCATGAACATAATAATGTTCATGAACGGTTCTCAAATGAAAATCTTACGTAACTATACCAATGATCAGCGAAAATTTTATATGCTTAATCAGTTTGAGACATTGATAAAATTAGTCTGAAGGGAATGTTATCAAGAAGTCGAACATACATTTGTACAAGTACGTGTTCCTCTGAAACTCAGTGAATATGTCAGTGTTGAAAAAAATCCCTTATGACACAAGCTAGAGTGGCAATGGCAAAGGCTAAAACCTACAGTCACTGGATACTTTATTTGGACATGGCTTGACTTACTGATCCAGGCTTGCTCCCTGGCTTGCCGTACTCCACCCAAGGAGGCAACACTATGGTACGATCAAGATTCTTAATGAAGGCTAGAGCACCAAGAAATTGGTCTGCCTGGTTCCCAAACCGACCTGAAATTAAATGACCTGACTATTTTTAGGTAAATATACCGGAAATGGGGCAAAAACAGCCCTGAAGTTCGTGTAGTGATGATGTGTTTAGATTCAAGTACATAAACATAATGTAGGCAAGATTTTCAAGTGAGAGTGAGTTGAAATTGTGATCTCTTTGAAATTAGTAACACAAGTTCAGACATGTTGCTGAAAACATCGTTTAACTTATTTCTGTAATTTTCAACTTGAAAATTTAAGTCCGTTAACAACTTCCTTCAATAAATGTTGCACATCTATTTTGTCATCACCATCAATGACAGAATCATCAATCCATGAACATATCAGGACGAACACAAGACCTATTCAGGACACTCACCCATGCATGGGCAGTACACTACATAGCCCTTGGGGTCCACTGTTGGGTTTTTCTCAGCAGACACCCTTTGAACCACGAGGCGCAGCACAAAGTGGACAAGAAAAATCCAGTAATGGACAGGCAACATCTTTATGTTTTTGCCTCTTGATTCTTTGAAGAAAAGTACACGTAAGAGTAAGTCCAAATTCAACTTCAAATCTGGTACGGGAAAGAAAGAAGAAGAAAATCCTTCAAAACAGCATTACTTTCATTTCGCTTCAATCATGGCAATCCAACCTTCCTACTCTGACACAAACAACAGATTCAAAAACAATTCTCCTGCTTTCAAGAGAGGTTGACGAATTTTAAATATGACCCACTGTGGACCCTGTGTCATATTTATGAATGCCAAGAAACTTCAAATCTTCTGAGACATGAGAACAACAGTCGTTAAAACGATCAACAATACTTAATAAAACTTTATGCAGACCCAAAGCTGCACGGACAGTTTGTGCAGGGTACATGAACTCTCTGCCTATTTAGAAACTATCCAAAGCTGCGTTCTGCTAAGCAAATAGTAACAGGTGGCCCTAATGAGGTTGATGCATAAATATCAAACTACAAATCAATTATGTAAATGTACTTCTTTTAGTTTGCTCTGGAATTGTGATTATGTGGGCAGAATAAAAATGCAGCAACAGTGCACTTCAGAATTTATACGACTTATACAGAATCTTGTCTGAAGATTTGGGACTCTCAATATTGTGTATGAGAACCTAAAACTCAGCATGAAACACTTGTTGTAAGAGAATAGACTTGTCACCAGTGATTGGAACAAACTGTTCGACTTTAGTCCATGTATTGCCTCTATCAAATATTGACAGTGCAAAGACCATCTGTCATCTATACTCTTTCTGTTTCTACACATTCTCTCCAAAGAAATGCAACCAGACGAATGAATAGAAGTTCCTTTCAAATACCCAGACGTAAATGAACAAGTCTTTGACTTCAAATTGGAATCACATGGCTGCACTCTCAGGTGCAAAAAATACCAAAGAAACGTCTCTTTTAAATACTTGGCTGGTGAAATAATGAGGACTCTGTTTCAAGGGGGGGCTACCATATGACACTACATTGGGGGCAATATCCATGATTGTTCATGATAAGATGTACATTTGTATATGTACATGTATTACGTTCACGCAGAATCTTACATTTAACCCTCCCTTCTTACTCTTGCTGATAAAAATTATAATTACCAGTTCCTATTTGGAATAAATATTCACTGGTACCTTTGCAATTTGCCACCAGAGGTGCATTATGTTCACTTGACTCAAACCATTTTCAATACGGGCAATTCACAATAGTGCGCCTCCAAGAGTTTGCAACGCGTTGGCTAATCACAACTCGCAAAATTTGTCGACCCTTTCCAAACGCGCATTGGGTCGACAAATTTCGCACATTGTGATTGGCCATCGCGTTGCAAACTCTTGGAGGCGCACTATTGTGAAACGCCCGTATTCCTACACTGAACTGGTAAATAACCCGACTTAAGTCAAAGCAATCACTCGACTTTTAAGTGTCACAAAATTCTGTAACTCATAAACATGGCAAAACAATATTGCAAGTCTATTCTAAATGTCCTTATACTACAGCCTATTACCTCCACAGTCATGACAGTCATTGATGGTATTAACAGGCCTTTAAATTGCCCTTTTTAAACATTTGAACATGAAAAGGCATGAGCTGAAAGGCGATTTGTTGGATCCTAGTCACTATTTGACAACATGTAAAGGTATGAAAGGCCAGGATAGAAATTAAAAAATGCCAACTGATATCTACTTAATCCTGGCAGTTACTCTTTACAAAAATCACTGCAAATATTGAAATAAAACACAATTTGCCGACTTCCCACGGTGACAGTCATGTCATGACAGTTGATTTCATAGGACACCATGTGCATCGATGTGCATGTTAAGCATAAAAATTGATTCACGATAGCAACATTGCAGGCCATCTAGCAAGAACAACAACGGGCTGGTCTATGATTTATGTTACGCCCCAACTAGGCCTATAGCATAAGTCAAGACTATACTACTACTAGTGCTGCAGTTGGGCCGGCCAAACTATAGTTGACCAATGTCTGTGGGAAATGTCTCAACATTATCCAACTTCCGAGTCAATGTGTCTCATACCTGACACAATTCATCTGAAATGTGGCATCTAGCCCTATGACCGATGACATGGCATTTGTGAATATGACTTTAGCACATGCTGCATGGGCACATCGTGCACACAGCTCTCTGCTGTACATGTACGTATGCTAGCTAGTTGGGCCGGCCCAACTGCATGAACTGCAGCGCTCTAGTTGGGACGGGTCCAACTATAGTTGGGACTGATGCTATACTAGTCAGGCTAGTTGGGCGTAACATTTGTTATACTTATGAATAAGAAAGAAACATTTAATGTTCTAACAGTAAACTTTCTTCTAAATTTAATGTACCGGGTACCTTCAACAACGGCATGGGCTGCCGGCCTTGGACGACCTCGCGTGGCCTGTGATATGTGGAAGTACATGAACATGTAATGTACATGTATTGTACACGTACATGTACGCCCCTACATGTATGGTACCTAGTCCCTGCGCCTCTCACTCAAGCCGTAGTATAGTATCTTGATAAAAATGTACACATTCACTTCCTGTCTGGCAACTCAAAACCGGATGCTACCATTATAATGAGGAGGGTGGAACCCGAACCTTACCGATGATATACTCTCTAATATTTAAATTTTGTACAAAACTGATTTCTTATATTTAATTGATTTTGCTTTTTTATCAGCTTCATTTTGATAGTTTTATATTATTAGCTATTAGTAACAATATCTTTGTGTCAATTTCCCGGCGTGAATTCCCCAAATGCATAAATGGAGTGACTCCGCGCGAGAAACAAACTCGACTCGACCCCACGAATGGGACGGACTAGAATTCGTTAAAGGCCTAAGTACAAGAAGGTTAGTAAGTTAAACGGCAATAAAATGTTACTTTTGCACTTAGCAGCTCAGTTTGCATGATTTTTCCAAGAACAGAGATTTGAATAAACTTTGTCTTTTTGTTTTCAGTTTTTACGTGAACATTGCCTCTGCATTGGTTGCCATCGTATTTATTTTGCAGTGTATAAATTTCCCTTGACCAGTTGTGATATATGTAGTAGTACAGATTATGAACCGTTTTCATGATCATGTAGTGTCATATCATGAAAAGATGTTGAGCACGATCGGCCGATAATCGCTCAATCTTTGCACAATTGATTGATTTTATTCCGTGATTTGTCGATAATTCTCAATCTGCCATCAGCCAATTTCCTTTTCTTTCTGATTCTCAGTTTGGAGAATAGGCCCATTCCCAAAACATGAGATAAGGAAGTAAAGTCAGAGATTTTGTGCGGGATCAAGTCTAATCAAATCCAATATTGATGTAATTGTGGAAAATGTAAAATTAAAAATAATAATGGGGATATGTACGTGATTTCTTCTTCCAATGATGCACTAACTTCAAAACTTTAAAACTGCCATGACTTTGCTACATTTGTAAGAATGGTACATTAGTTGCGCACAAGTCAAGGTAGTATCTCAATACTGAATTTTGATAATAATTGTATTTATATACCACCAAATTACCAGGGGATACAAATCGCTTATAATCATTATCCCTGTACATTGGGCGCAAAACATCTGTTTAGCATCCCTGAAACCTTTTCAGCTTCCTGGGAAATGTACTAGCCCGATGCTGCTATATCAGGTGCAAATGGCTAAACATGCACGTAGTAACATGTACTCTCACAGGTACCCATTTCCTCCTGGGTGCAGGAAGCACGCAGGAGTAAAGTGACTTGCCCAAGATCACAGCCTGCTGTCACCAGCTGGATTTGAATCTTCACCCTTATGATCGGAAGCTACAAACCCTAACCACTAGACTACATGCCCCCAAACCCAAAGCTAATGCAATTTGTAATGGTATGGCTCAACGCCTTTTTGTTTCTAGATGGCAAGCAGCAGCAAACGAAAGAGTATGGGCAAAAAGCGGCGATCAAGCTTTGTTAGAGGACGTTCCAGAAAGTCATTACCTCCTACTGATGTCTCATGTGCAGGTATGTTGTCTGAGCAGCGTCAACATCAATATCCATAGAAGAAACAATGGGTTTCTTATCTTAAGAACTTTGACTGTACGTGTGTTTAAAGGTAATTCATTTTTTACAAAATATATTGGATTTTGAAAGACATTCTGATTCATCTGTAAAATTTATTGTCTGAAGTTACTGAATTGATGAAGCTTGTAATAAGCTTGCCTATTTTATCACAGAAAATTTCTCAGCGACATATGTTCTGAACATTATTGTCTCGAATGTTAAATTTAAATATATTTCATTAATTTTGTGATCTCAATTGAAACTGTCAGTATCATTTGACTATTCTCTTTGGCTGTGTTTCTTTGTATTTTGTACACTGTAGTAAATTTTGTTCTACAATGCTAAAATCATAGAACTGTTAGATCTTTGTCCTTAATTCTCCGGTAGAGTTACACAAGAGAATTCCAACTGACATTCCAGAAGCCAAGAGGCTGTGCCAGCTGCAGGAGGCATGCTTTCAGGTCAGCCAATTAATTTGCTGTACGAGGAAATTATATATGTAGATTACCATCTGCATTTGTCAAGATTGTTTTTTGTTTTTATTGACGGGTAAGTTTAAAGTCTTTACCAGGGTTGTAACTATTCCATCGCAGCTCAGTTTCTAGTTAATCATAAGTCAAAGTAGTGGTAGATCCTATTAAGTGAGGCTAACAGTAACTAGGAGATAAACTGTGACAGAGAAATGTCTCTGCTGTGGATTCTTTGAACGGTTTGTGACTTTGTGTAAGACTTGTAACTGGCTTGATTTCAACTCTGATGTTGATCAGGGTGAAGGTGAAAATCACAAGTTAACGTGAAAGTAAACTACAGTGTTCATGTTTTTAGTGCATTTTCAACAGTGTAGGCAACTGTTTGAAGTCACATGGCTACATTTGCGAGTAGCTTCATAAACCACACTTATGTTTAACTTACATGCAAATAGCCATGATGCTCTTCACTGAAATTACCAATATGCAGTGTTCAAAAGCTGAATAAGACCACAGACGTATATTAAACAAATCTGGACTCACAATGCCCTTAATCAGCTTATAGAGATCATTGAATCCACTAGCAGCCATTTCACTGAGCCTAATACAAAGCTTGCCCAGCGCATTTGTGTTCGGCTCGGTAAAATGGCTGCTGGTTGGCTTCTATTTCATACAAAGGTGTTGCAAGTCCAAGTTTTTTTATATACGTCTGTGGCTTGGACATAGCAGGGGTGGGGCTTGAGTTACAAAGTTCCACATTGTCCACATGTGACAAAACTATTTTGTCATCATCGCCTGCTGAAAAGTTACACCTTTGAAACATTTATTCCTCCCAGTTCACCATGCAGAAATTACAGATAGAATGTCCAGCAATGGAAGGTTGGGAGGCATTTGAAGAAGAAGGTAATCTGAGATATTTTCTCATACATTTTAAACAATTCAGGAAAGTTACAATTGTTGTTGTTGTGTTTGCACATATGTCGCTCACGTGCCTCATGGGCCATTCCTTACAGCAAAATGAGGCTTTCTGCCAATGTAGGAGTGATGCTAATGACTGCAGAAATGGTGTGGAACCAGTACTATCCACTCCAAGCAGGAACCAGTGGGTGTTTGTACATAGAAGTAACAGTAAATGAGACCTCGTCTGCATGCAGGTTTATGCATGTTTGGCTCGGGGCATGCTGAACATGCCTGACCAATAGACTGATTGCACCTACTAAGTCACATGAGCTACAGTACAGTGGGTATCAAACACCGACTAACGTGACACATTCCCACAGCAAGGTGTCGGTATAGCACTCAAACTACTGGTGTGCTGAGCACTATACCAAAAATCAGCATTATTTTTGGCGAACAGCACTTAAAACACACTTTGCTATAGGAGAACGCCATGTTCATTGATTTTTGATATCCACTATACATGTACACGTAGGTCATGTGACTTAGCCGGTGCAATCGATCCATTTCTATTTGGAAGTTAAGTCTTCATGTGTGCACCTTAGCACTTGTAAAAGCCAGGTGAAAAACTTCCCACCAGCCCGTTTCTTCCTTTTTCCGGTGATGGTGCACTTCATTTAAAATGGATTACTGGCTGAAGGTGTTTGTTGGAGTCTGTCATAGGTTGTGTGTGTTTTCTGTGCAGCCACTGAAGCTCTCAGGGATGCACTGAACAGTCTTGAAAGTGAGGGCATCTTGGACCGAGTGTGCAGCCGGAAAAACAGGTTGGTGTTCAGTCGGCTTGTCTGCTGCTCCAATAATGCCCAAGAATTATGTCTGTAATTTACAGAGATTACTTTAAGGTATGAAGAACAATAGTTACAGAAGTGCTCGCCCTCTTGAAAGATTTACCCTGATGTCTCTTTGCCCGTTCTTTAGTTGTGTCTTCTCTTCATTCATTCAACATTTTTTCCGATATGTCTGCAGTGCATTGTTTCAGCAGCTGAGCCTTTAGGAGTTCTTAGAGTAACTCTGCAGTCATTTTGACACCAATTTTGTAAAAAAAAATGAATCTACCAGTCTGGCACGGCGACCATTTTTCCAAGACAGGAATGTTTATTTTTTTCCAACAATGCACATGGGCTGGCACTTGTGTAACCTTGAACTTAAAATAACAACAAAACGATATGTTTAATTGACTTTTTTGTCAAACGCCATTTTTGTAATGATAAGGAGTGTCTTTACATTCATGCCGAGTTTAAAAATAAGCAAGGTACAGCTGAGTTGGGGGGGTTGACATCCAACCCTTCCCCCACGTAGCTGTGAGATTGGCCAAAAAAAACCAGCTCTTTGAGGGTTACACATGTAAATGCCATACGGCATACCCACAGGGAGTTTGATGATTCATTACATCTTGCACACACAGTTACCTCCCTAACCCTGAGAATGACACCTTGCAAGAGACGATAACAGAGATACAGCAGCAGTCAGAGAGGTTGAGTGCCGAGAGCAACAAGTGGGAGGAGCTACTACAGCTCTACAAAGAGGAGGCAGAAGATGCAGAAAGGTAATGAAGATGGCTTAAAGAAACTGAAGTCCACTTACATGTAGCTTACTCATATAAAGGGAGAACAGCCCCTGATTATATAAGTTGGTTTCCAGTTGCGCAGTGCCATTTCATTTTTCATGGAACAATCAGATTTTTTTTCTTTGTGTCACAGAACTTTGGCCAGCCAGCAGTCTGAGGTGCCCGTCCTCAAAGCGCCAGACAGTCTGACCAATGAGCAGAAGAAGCTACTGTCAGGACTGCCCGATCTGCGACGGCTGAGCAGCTGGGCACGACAGGCAGCCGACAAGCTCCAGCTGCAGGCAGGCCGCGTCCACGAGGGCGGCCAGCAGATGATGCAGTTTGCACGGTATGCTGAGGCTTACTTGAGCCAGCAGACCAAGATACTAGGTAAAGTGAGCAGTCTTGTTGCCATCACAACAACAGCATCAAGATTTTGGGGGGGCTTTATCCTACTTTGGAGTATCTTGTTTTCTCTTCTTTGTCCTTCCGAAAATCAGTCCCGTGAGTTATTTCGCACCATTATTTTACATTCTCCATCCTTCCCTCTGTACGTTCAAAATAGAAAGAAGAGCAAATTGAATGAATTGAAGTAAATGTTGGTTTCAGACAAGCTGACTTAATTCAAACTGCATACAGCAGTGGAGATAAAATTCACACACATGACCTGCTTCTTGCTCAGTCATTTTGTTCATACATACGGAGATTTAATCACTCCCTACCGGGGACCTGTTTTCGAATACATAGGCTTTATTTGCAGAGCCGGGGAGTACGGAACTGGGGCAAAAGAGTTGGGCCTTATAACAAAAGACTGTGCTCAGCGCAAAAGACTGAGCTGCTGGGCATTACCAACATTTTTTCGCTCTCAATAGTGGAGATAATCCAGCCTTGTTTTGAAACAGTATACCACAGTTTGAGGCATTTAGAGCGAGCGGATTACCATTGGGGCCAAAAGCTCTCCACCACCACAGCAATGAGCCACACAGCACCGCTGCACGCTAATCTGGCCCGTATTGAAAAGAGGTCAGCAGTGCATTGTGCTGGTTTCGGGAACAAAAGAATCTTACGTGACACCGCACAACCTGGGCTCTTTTTCCAAGGCTGCAGGCTTGGCTGAAATATTCAGGAGTCAATGAATTTACCTGTCAGCTTTAGAGTAGTGCCCAAAGAGTCCTTCATTTTGATATAAACGGCCATTAAATGAAATGATGGATTTTTGAAGAATTTTGAAAACGGAAAATCTTGAAAATGAGCCGGCATCTTGCCTTGCTCAAGAAAAATCCACCCGGCAGCAAGTGGTTAATGAGCATGAAGTTCACAACATTAAAGCCCCGTTGATGAAACAGGGACATTAAAATAAACTTGAAAGCCGGTAAGCAAAACCAAGGCAATACATGTACTTGTACGGTAGTATGGAGTCGTTTTTGCAAACTTACGGATATGTTATAAACATGAAGCTGAGGAGATCAATTTTGTTGATTCCAATGTGACTCAGCCCACCAGCTACTTACGTCAGCCAAATTCTTTCTGCATATAATATTTCAATTCAAACTGTATGATTACATCGTCCACGTCACTGACAGGGCCTGTATTCAATTTACACTTTCCGTGGCATTTGTAATACAAAGACTGTAATGGATTGGGAGATTGAAATTTTCACATTAACATGAATTTGCATTGTGTTTCGGAGTTATTACAAATCCCCACATCAGTTGATCATTTGATGTTCCTGCATTGGTAGTTGCACCAGATTGTTTTGCACAATGAAATCTTGGGTTCAGTGTGACTCTGAAATATGTTAGTTTGGGGTGTTATGCAATTGAAAAATATAGCTGAGGCTTTTAGACTCTGTTCTTCATTTCACAATTAAATAGTGTTGTGGGTGTGGACTGTGCATATTGGTAATGAGCCAACTATGAATCCCTCTTTGCATAGTAACAATGTTTGGGGGCACTATCCGAATTCTTCAATCTTGCTCAATCTTTCATATAACTTCATATATTTTGAAGGAATTTGGAAGGTAATTGGAGATTAATTAAGAATTTTCAAGTTTCTGAAGATCCTCCTCTTTTTACTCGTAATCATAGCCAAGAAGTCACTGCAGGATGCCCTCGGAGACCCAAGGAAACTCATCCAAGGTGCTGCAGGAGATGCCAGCTCCTCACAATAACACAGACACCCACCCTCTTCCCTGTAAACAGTTAAACAAGGTAATGCTCTGTCGTGCACAAGAAGTGGAAACCTTTTTGCGTCTGCTCATTCTGGTCATGTTTTGCTGCTGCCTCATTCCTGTGGCTGTGGAGGCCCACAGTGGATGTGGATGGTTGTCAGACGCCCACTTCGAGATAAGATCCTGGTGCTTTGCGATAAAAATTGTGTGGAAGACAATTTTACCACGAGAAGCTTGCTCAGTTTTTCTTGCAGTGGATCGTCTCAGATCTAAGAAAGTTGGAACATTGTGTTTTGAGTACCACCTGTCGTGATTGGGAGTTTGAAACAGCTTGGGAAGATAGGCTCTCCTTATGTAGGATTGGCCGTGTGGAAGCTAAATCTTGATTGGTCTGTTCCCGCTCAGAATTTGGAGCATTGCTTTTTCTTGACAGAGATGTGCCATCAGAAACATGACAAGTCCATTCAACAGAGTGTTCTCTGGAACACGTTCAGTTATTGTGACTCCACTGCTGAATATTGGAAGCATCTCATGTGTAGTTGGTTGAGCGCCCTCTAGGGTAAAAATGCCCATTCTCAATGTATTCAGTGATCCATTTACAGCAGCGGACCGTAGAGGGCACTGTTCAGTTGTAGGGCACAGTATTCAAGGTACATTGTGAAGCAGATCAAATGTTATTTTCTAATATTGGGTTCGTTTTGCTTTGTACAATTTGTAACACTTTAGTTTAGAAAAAGCTCAACTTCATTAGCTCATTAAAACTCTAAATTCATTTTAGATTATTCCTCAAAAATGGATTTTTTTTTTGCATAAATCCCATTGAGCAAATGTCAAAAATGAACTCAAAATAGAAAAATAACAAGAAAACAGAAAGCAAAAGCATGTGTCACTCCCCCGAAGAGAGGTATTCTGTGTGTAGCTCTGACATCGTAAAGGGAAACTCTGGGTGCACAAGGGGCCTACTTTTCTCCAGTGCACTGATGGCGTGACCAGTAAATCTCGCACCTAATCTTTTCCCACTCCACCCACGTTTTTCTCACCTGATCAATCATGACACCGTCCTTCCTTGTTGCCGCCAATTAACTGCGGATGAATAACCTTTGCAGTATACAGACAGACATTGGGTGGAGGCATAGGTTGGACTGGGCCAGAGGCTTGGAAAATTTTGTCTGTGTTCTTTATGCTGCCTGGCTTTGGGTCTGGTGGCAAACAGGACCCCATGCTGTACATTTTATAATGTAAACTGTACATGTACATTCCAATTGTCTCCTTGCTTAACTATGCTGTGTTCCAAAATGGTGCTGTGAGTGTGTTCATCAGGCATGCGACTTACTTCAGATCAGCTGATTTCCTCGTTTTTCAGCTCACACTCATGCCATTGAACATGGAAAAACATTATACTGGTACATCTTGTAAAGATTGGAATTTCCTAGTTTTTTGTCAAAGTCCAAGCTGCATGCCTGGGTCATGTGCCTGGTACATTACATCTTGGCATACTGGGCATCCGAGGGCAAATTGTCTGTTACAAGGAACCAGTATTCACCACATGAAAATTAACTAACCCATCTTACAAGAATGCATGTTTACATGTATTATGTACATGTATGTTTATATGTTCACGGCTTGAATCTGTTGTTTTGCATCCATTGCATGTTGTTACATTCAATTTTTTTTATTTTATTTAAAACATCATATTGATAAGTTGATAGCTTATTAACGCTGTTTCATTGAGTTGTTTTCCTAACAAAGTTCTCTATTAAATATTGAAAAAGTGTACTTTGTCACATTGACTTACATGTGCAAATTAAAATGCTCAAGCAAATAACTCACTTTGAGTCATGTATAATTTTTATTCGTGAATGGGAGACATGCTGACCTACAAGAAGTTTTACTAACACCTTAAGATTACCATTGTTTGTCTCTTTCAAGACTTAAATGCAAGGTTGATTTGGAACAATGTCACAAGTTGTTTAAGTTGTCGCGTACTCAACAGGAGCCTCAAAGTTTACAGAAAGCCTCACTTTAATATTCAAGCTATGTTATAAATATAATCAGTTGGAGAAAAGAAACAACCAGATGGTGCTTCGTAAGCAAAACCCTGTCACAAGAGCCTTTGTGATCCTTTCCCTCAAGGTACTTTTCCAAACTGCTTTAGATCACAAACAACCATAAACCAAAGTATCTAAATCATCGAGTTTCATAGCAAACCATCTTGATTAAATTCAGTACACAGTTTCTCTACCATATTCAGGAATTTCAGGATTCTCATATTATAATCTATCTGGCCTTTAAACAGTCAGGTGCACCGTTCATGTCTGTCCCACCGCCGCTGTTGCAGGTGTAATTGACTCCAATGTTCCAGGTTCCGTTGCGACATGTGGTTGCTATTTAGAGGCTCATTCCCTTGGCAATTTGAAACATTCTGTCCTGTCACAGCCATCTGATGTGACACTGGGTCTTGGAGCTCTCTGTGCATTGCAGAATGCCAGGTGAAAGCAGTTGAAAGTTTCAGGGTTTTAGCCTGCAGTTTTGGAATGTGAAGGAAAGTTGGCCTGTACCCCTTGTTTGGGGGTATCGCACAGTGTTCAAAATTGACAGAAGTCTTGGGTTATGTTCATTGGCTTTTTTATTTTGGAACTGAGCTGTGACAGTTTGAACTCATAACTCTTTAAAAAAAAAATCAGAATACTTTTTAAAGCCCCATAAAGTAAGCCCTGTGACTCTGAAATTTGATAATAAATGATGTAATAAAAAAAGTGAGCTCCTCTAATTCTAAATGAAGATGTGTCATACATGTACTCACATGCAGCAAGTTCATTGGCAATCTCCTTTAAATTCTCCAATGTGTTCGGGCTTGACTGTATGTCAGGTTTCCCTGGTCTCCCATTCTTTCAGGGGAATGACAGGGGAATGGTTACACAAGCTGTAATAATGGTGTAAACTTGTTTCCCATGCACTCAAAAACTACTCAGATAACAAAACCACCCCTGCCGTGTGGACAGAACCGTCCACTCTCCCGCAACTTGGGTTAAATGCTGTTTGTTTGGGGAGATGCGTGTGCACACACCATCAAAAAGTAGCCATCGCCTCAGCTAGCCCTACCTTGATTGAGCAAATTGAAAAGAAGAAGAAGAAAAAAAAGGACACCCCTTAAAGGAATACACAGAGTTACACACTTGGTCAATTATTAATTAGAAACTGTGTACTGAGGCCCTTCATTTCAATTGGATAATGTTTACTTCAATCCCTCGCTCTTAGCACGGTTGGTTGTTGTTTCTTTCTGTCCTAGATTGGTCTGAGTGCTTTTCCTTGCTCATTTGTCCCTAAGTGGTGGACAGGCAGTACCCATAGGGGTTGCTGATTAACCCAGCCTGGAGTTTTTAATTGAACATGTTTCAATATTGACTGCCTCCCTTGCTCTCCATACTCTCTCCATCTCTGCTATGTCGATAGTACCAACCGACCAACCAGTGTCTGTCCCCCCCCCATCTCCTTCCACTCTTTAGATGGCCCAGATTAGTCCAACAGTTAGTTTTGTTAAGTGCTCGTTAATGCCCCACACTAAATGCTTTTTTGGTTACTCATTGATGGTGTGGAGTTCCCGACATTCCCGGAGAAGGGAGACTGTGTTTGCGCTTTTCCGCCTTTGCATATTTTTGTCCTTGTTCTCTGCGCCTCTCAGCTTTTTTTTCTCCCTCCCACTTACTCCTCTTGCTTTTACTCTCTCGTGTGTTCAAAGTCTGGCATGGTGCAGACATCCATGAGAGCGGAGGCATGATTGATGAGGGGCCTAAATGGAGAACCCCCCGACATTTTGAGTTGCTTGATGCTGAAATACTATGCCCAAATCCCATTTTGGGATTGTGTGTCAAAAAAGCATCAAAACGCATGTGTTTGTAATCCAAGATTTCTTTCCCGTTTACATGCATCATCTTATAAACTCCGATTATTAATATCATGTGGAATTCGAGATGACAGAAAACAAACTAATGATTGCATCGGAGGGCCTTGTTCAAAGGACAAATATCCATACATTCAAATGTTTTTTGTTAGTGTATGCAAAGGAATGAAATACCTTTTGTAGCCCAGTTTGGTAAAGTGCATAGCTGTTTTGTCTGACATCTTACAGTAACATGACAAATCAGAAGAAAGCTTAATTGTTATATTGGGAGTTTTTGGCCCTTCATTGACATATTATGACATGTATTTGTAACAATGTATACTCAGAGTTCTTCAAGGACAAGTGCACAAAAATAAAACAAAGTTTGCTTGGGTTGGACATGAACCCATAACTTCCCTACAAATGTAGACCTCAATTTGTCAGTGCTGCCTCATCAGTGCTAATACTTCAAGCTTCCCTTTTCTTTTTTGGAGTTCAAATTTGAACATTATTTGAAATTTTCAGCACCTTTTCTGTTACTTCAGTGCTCATTAAACAATTTTGTGTGTGTTTTATTTTTGCTTTCAGCTGGCAAAAATATCTTTGATGATATCTAGTACATGTACATATATATTTGAAAAACTGCTGAAAAAATGAGCTAGGATTATCAAATCCGTTGATTAGCTCAAGTATCTCAGACTTTCTTGCATACATTTTTTGCATTTCATAATTTGTGCACGTTGTCAGCAGTTTTGTTGAATTTGTTTCATTGTAAATCCATCAGATTTTAAAAATCGCCTTTTCATTTTGAATGTACCTCCAATCATAGAAAATACAATCAGAAATCTGTGGTAGATGTGCAAAACTATTTTCACTGAAAACTTCATGGTTTGATCTCTCTGTAATTTCGAAGGTTACTCCAGTAGGGGAAAAGCCCTCATGCAAATGGTGGTCCATGCAGACGGCAGCTTAACCTGTCGTTCCTGCTGCATCTTGCACACTGCTGCCCTGTCAGGCCCTGGCGGAGGGGAGAGCTTGAGTAGGATTTGGCCATCCAAGCGTAAAGCATTGCCCACTGTCACCATAATTGTGGTCCCAAATTGACAGGCTGCCAGTCACAATTAGCCGTCTGTGTTTACTGTCATATTAAGAGGCAGGTTCCCTTGTTTCTTTTTTTCTGCTTCCTCATCGTGTCTTGTCATCGCAGAGGCCCCTCTTCGCCAAGGCCAGCATGACTCCCCCCCCCATGATGAAAGCCAACGTAAGCTTGACTCTGCAAATTTCTGAGGGAGCTGCGACCTGTGTGTGTATGTGTTTATTGGTGTGCGTGTTGAGAAAGGCGTACAGTTTGCGGAGCGCTAGGGAATTAAGGAAGATCAATTATTGACTTTTCCGTTTTTTTAATATTGTCTGGGCGGTATCTTTGCTTGATGATGATTGGCAGTTGGCTCCATGATTAGGAGAAGATAAATCTTGCTCTTACAGGCTGCGTGTGCCTCATTATGTCTATACAGTAACTATACAATCCCTAATTTGTCTTCAGTTGAAGTAAACTTTGAATTTTGAAACTAATTGGCTTTTCATATCACTAACTGTTCTTTCCTTTTGAAGGAAAAAGTTTATCGGATTTCAGCTCAGGTGTGTGCTCACATTTTGTGTTCATTTCAGTTTTAATCAGCAAAACGAAACACTATTTGACACTTATCTTTCACCCAAAATTTGTGATTTTTAAAATTAATTTTGGCTTTTAGACTGGTATGTTCAAAGTTGATTGTCTTCCTTTGTGTCATTTGTTTCATGCTTTACATTATACAGTGATTTTGACCAACTTTGGTACTTACGAGTTAAGATGGCTGTTTAAAGAATTAAATCTCTGTTGTTTGTAAGAACACTCCACGACTCATCTAAAAGTGCCCTAACTCTAAAAGATTATACCGATTAGATTAAAAAATATATTACTATTTTCAAAATGCAATGTTGATTCCATCTTAGTTCCAAATTTGTACTCTTCAAATTGCATGTTACCCTGCATGGAAAGGAGGAGGCAGGAAAGTAGGGTAGTTCATAACTGCTGATAAAAAAAAACTGTTGCTTAAGACTGAACAAGCATCTTACCCATTAACAGTCTCACAAAAAGAATCCATATGTCCTTCACATTCAGGTAAACAGTGCATCATCCCATCTTTCACAAGCTCATTTTCAAAAAATCCTGAAAAACAAAACTGAAGAGGAGTCATATTGTTTATATGGCCTTTTGTGCCAGGGCCCTTACGCAAACATACCGTGCTCATCCCACTTTGAAAGAGCCGCCCGGCTCAGCCGAGCGAAGGTAATTCCAGGGAAGCAGAGACTATTAGATTGTTCCTATCTGTCAATCATTGATCCAATGAGCCGGCAAGGCAAATTTCATTATTGCTCTTCTTTTTTCCCCTCTTCCTATTTTATTCTATTTTTTTTTACTTATAAAGTTTACACTCCATATTCTGATAGGCTGTAGGAAAGATGATAACACAAGAGGGGGGAAAATGACAAATTTCAATCTGTTCTATGATTTTTTGTTTCTTGAAAGTTCTCTTGATTCTTGTTTTCTTTGAAATGGAAAAGAAAAAGGAAAGGAGATTGCTACACCAGTACACTGCTAAGAATTAACAAATGCCCCCTGTGATGATTCATATTCATATCTTGAAGTAATAGTTTTCAGGTACGGAGATTGATAATTAAATTACCATTTTTTTAATTGGTGCGTACAGTGTAGTTTTGTGTGTTTAATTATTTGTTCTCATGTAATTATTTATTCATAAATACTTCAAACAGTTTCCCTTGCCTGCTTAGAAGTGATAATTCCGATTGGTCAAGAGTCTGTGTGCGTGTGGCTCACCAGGTGCGTGCTAAGTCTGTATAAGGAGGTTGTATTGGACAGCTTGCACAAGGAATATACCATAAAATGGACAGGGGTGTTCAGAAATATGAAAGTAAAATTCTAGAACAAAATTGTTAGAAATCCATCACATATTGACTTCTTGACTCCCTGACTACAAAAACTAACATTTAAGACCGGCCAAGCACATGTTTATTCCCTTGTTAAAAAAAGGCACACATGTGTTTTTAAGTACTCAACACAATCATCCTGTTAAAATCTAGTCATTTTGAATGTTATCCTCACTTGTAGTTCCACTGGTATTTTGATCACAATACCATGAATTTAAAACGACTTGAATTTGAAAGCTAATATTTCACATTATTCACTCTCACCCTTTTTAAAAGCACTTTGGCAAAATGGCTAATAATTCAGAGTTGCCAATAAATACTGAATGAAAAAGAATCAATTTTTGATTACAGTTACAGTTCTCACTAATTGTGAACAGTGCCCTCTGTTGCTTGGTATAGGCCCAGCCAGCATTTGAGTTATTTCTTTGGGGACTTCATCCATCTAGTATGGGTATGGGTAACCCAAACAGAGAATGGGATTTGCCATTTGACCACTGATGTCTCTCTTTCTCTTTGTATATGTATAAACAGTGTAGGAGTTGCAAATCTATTTATGTGTATATCAGTTAATCCCCACCGGGTTGTAATATGTGTGGGATGACCGTTGTTTCACCGTGCTAGGTGTCCTGTTTAAGGACATGTTAAACAGATTTGTTGGAACTTTCTACCCTTTGATCATACAATATAGGAAATACATGAAGCAAAGGATAGAAACCACACATTCAAAATGAACTGAGGACTGAGAGATATGCTAAGTGTTCCATTGGAATTCCAGTTGTACATGTAACTCGTAATCTCTATGCAGGTAGTCACCTGAGACTACTCCCTAACTAAAGGTAAATTTTCTCCTGGCACCTTAGGGTAGTTCCCAGTTTGCTTGCAATAGTGTTTCCATAAGGAGCTGCAGTTAATACAGGCATATCCTGCATTACGACAACTTACTTAGTGCTTGTTGACAGCACTGAGATTTGCTTGTATTGTGCGGAAAAAGAAAACCCTAAGACGTAGATGTGATATGGGATAGTTGTGTTGAGAGTATTACAGGATTCTTCCTCACATTGAATTTATTAATGTATGCCTTGTAGGCGCTGAGCACATGGGCTCTTTATTTGGATCCCAAGTCTCAAATTGATACTGGAGAGTAACCTCATTTTGTTTGGTTGATTGTTTTTATAGTCTTCCAAAAGGTGCATTTTGTTTGTAGCAAAATTTAATATTTAGATCATCAGAACTTTTTAGACTTTCTCTCTCCCATTTTTGATAGAAAGATGTGACAATGTAAAAGTGTTAATCCTCATCAACTTTGCATTTGTTTCTTTTCCGTGGGTGAGCACACCACTTTCAGACAATCATTGGGAATCCAGTGTAATGCCCTGAACATTTCCTGTCAATGGAATCATTGGGAAAAGTTGTTGAAGCGAAGCCTCTTGCTTGAGGACACAGGCTGTTTAATTCTATGGTAAGTCACAGACCTATGATGCATCTACATGTAAAGGTACATTCAATAGACTTGGCCACCTTCAGATGTCGGATGAGTCTCACATGTATTGATTCTCCTTTGTGAAGATCAAGTAATGAAGGCACTGTGCTCATTGCAGAATATTAATAATACTGTAATAATAACACACACTTGTAAAGCGCCATCTATCTTGAAAACTATTCTGAGGCACTAATTATCATTATCTGTGCACATTTGGCTAACATCATCTGGACATTCATCGCCTGAAACCATCTCAGCTCCCTGGGGTGTATTGTCTGCCCTCATAGGTACCCATTTACCCTTGGGTGTAGAGAGGCACATAGGGGTAAAGTGAATTGCATCACAACATGCTGCCACCAGCTGGATTCGAACCCCCGACCCTACGATCAGAAGTTGCAAACCCTAACCACTGGGCCACATGCCACATGTTCCCAGAAGAAAGCTGCATTTTGGACAATTTCAATCCTTGATATTGCAATTTATTTTCAATTGTATCTCTCCAGGTGATCGATGATATGGCCATGAAGGTTTATTCCATTGATGGACCGACCCCCAAATAATGCACACACCATGATGAAAATTGGCAGTTGGAATGACAATGAAAAATAATAGTAGTCAGTTTGGTTGGCAGTGTATTGGAGTCAGCTTTGGCCACACAAATCTTTATAAAAAAAAAATCAATCCACGTGGTGTTTTGGTAAGGATGCTGAACTGCCACACAAGTCATGACAAGAAATTGTGAGTCATGTGCATGCAGAATTCCATCTAAAATTTTTTAACTGTCTGATTTTTGGGCTCTTCATGGTTTGGAAAAAATTAGCCTTCATCGGCACTAGTCCAAAAGAAGAAGTTCAAAATCCAAGATGCAGTTCAACTTCATCTAAATTACTTTCTCTTATCTCGTGATTGCCAGAGCTTCTTTCCTGTGGTGTCCCTGAGGCAATCTTTCAGCACACATCACATAAGAATTTTGCTTTCAAAAGCACGCCAGTACCAGTTCTGATTCCTGTGAACATCAAGTTTTCAAAGTGAATTAGAGATTTCATAATTCATGGTTTTGTCACCACAGAAAATGGTAGGCCACACATCCTTATTCCTGCATTGGTAGGAAATTGATGTAATTTGTTATTCATGTGATACATCTGGACGGAAACTGCCATTCCGGTGTTATCCATCATGTCTCATTGCCAAAAGTTCAAAGTAAATAGCATTTAGGAAAATGAACTGCCTTGCCACTGAGCAAAATATTATTGCCCTTGTGACTTTTGCCAACACGTCCTCTTGCCATGCAAAAGGTCATCCTCCCAAAAGAAATCCCTGAAACAGGGAAGTCTCAATCCTTTTTTAGCTTGCCCCCCAAAACATATGTCATCAGAATGGATCCGGCTCCTTAATTTGAAAATTGCACGATAATATGCCCAATCCGTCCCAAGTAA